AGAGAAAGGGCATCTCAGGAAGACTGGGATGGCTACAAGGTAAAGAATATGGTCTGGGGCCAAACTGGGGAAGACCTTGAACTTCAGTCAGCCTCACTCTCTACACTAAAGAACCACTGACATTCTTGACCAGAGCAGCAGAATCAAAACACACCGTGGTCTACAAGATGAAACGGAGGTAGAAGAGCAGATGAAGATGCCTAGTAGGCAATAAAACACATGACACAATTTGGGCTTGTGGTTTCCTGAAGGCTCCATGTTGCTCCCCGAAGTATCTGGAGAAGCATGTATAGTTATTACAAGACAGCCTATGTGTTTATAAGCTCACTTGTCTGCAGAATGACTTGAGGAAACACACAAAAAAGTCATACATGCCCCTTCATGGTCCTATTCCATCATTATATATACAATACTGTTTTAGCACAAATAATGCATATTAGTATCTCAAATAACTATTAGCTGTTTGAGGCAGAAACCATCTACAATCATATTTTTAAAACTTTTTTTTATACTGCTTAAAGTTTTTTCATTGTTTTTTTGAAACAAAGTCTTACTGTGTGGTCCAGGCTGGCCTCAAACTCCTGCCTCTTGTCTCAACCTCCCGCGTGCTGGGATCACAGGTGTGCAGCACCACACACAACTCTCTTAAGTCATCTTTGAATCTCCTTCCCCTAGCATTGTTCTAGACAGAAATGCTCAGTAGGAATTCAGTGAATGAGTATCCTTAGCACAGCAGTAGATATGCATTAGCTACCTGGCTAGTTTTATGTCAACTTAACGCAAGCTAGAGTCATCTGAGAGGAGGGATCCTGAATGGAGAAAATACCTCCATAAGATCTGGCTGTAGGCAAACCTGTAGGGCATTTCCTTCCTTCCTTCCTTCCTTCCTTCCTTCCTTCCTTCCTTCCTTCCTTCCTTTCTTCTCTCTCTCTCTCTCTCTCTCTCTCTCTCTCTCTCTTTCTTTTTAAAGATTTATTTATTTATTATGTATACAGAAGAGGGTACCAGATCTCATTATAGATGATTGTGAGCCACCATGTGGTTGCTGGGAACTAACTCAGGACCTCTGGAAGAACAGCCAGTGCTCTTAACCTCTGAGCCATCTCTCCAGTCTCTAGAGCATTTAATTAATTAGTCATTGATGGGGAGGGCCCAGTCCATTGTGGGTGGTGCCACCCCTGGGCTGGTGGTCCTGGATTCTTTAAGAAAGCAGGCTGAGCAAGCCAGTAAGCAGCACTCCTCCATAGCCCCTGCATCAGCTCCTGTTTCCAGGTTCCTGCCCTGCATGAGTTCCTGTCCTCACTGCTTTTGATGATGAACTGTTATATGGAACTATGAGTGAAATAAACCCTTTCCTCCTCAAGTTGGTTTGGTCATGGTGTTCCACCATAGCAATAGTAACCCTAAGACACTATCATAGCAAACAGATTCCTCGGGTCTAGACCTGAGAACATGATGATGGTAACACACCATCCCTTTGGTCAGATGAGTGAAAGCTGGTGTGGCTCAGTGTTAGAACAGAATGAAGTAAGCCTTTAGTGATGTGTAGGGTGGTTGGTAAACCAAAGTATTGGGAGGATGAGGATCACTGTAGTCTTAAAGTGCAGCCCGCAGGGAAAATAATCTCTGAGCAAGGAAAATCTGTTGCTTGAGAATAACCAGGGTAGGTTACTTACATGACAAATTATCACATTGTAAAATAATGGTATTTGGGCACAGCATGCATAACTTTCTAAATTAATAACCTCAAATATATTTTAGAAAAACTAATGTTGACCATCTTTTTTAGCCTTTTTAATTCCAGCAGACACTTTAATTTGTTATCAAATCCCAAAGCTCTATTATGGTTAGCCCCATCTCTAAGTAAGCCAAAGCTCACAGGGTAAAAACCTTCCTCCAGCTGCCCTGGAAGTGAGAGAATCCAGCATCCTTGAGTTTAAAAATGTCAAGATTATGTTCAATGGATTTGTGTTCTTTTGATAACCCTTTGCAGTATCTGTGGCATTCAAAACAAAACAAAGCTGTTCTCATCCCTCCAACCACTCTGCATTGGTCTCCATAGTCCCCCCACCCCAGGCTCACTAGACTTGGCTGATCTAACGTTCGTTTGCTGACTGTTACACACTTATTCAGTGAACTGGTGTGTAAACTTTCACTACCAGTCTTTCCCCATCACTAATTCCTGCAAGGAAATATAAGAAATTCTGACTTTTATATTTCTGAAATTTATTTCTTAAGAATTTCTTTAAAAGCAGGAGGAGATCTCTTCTGAAGAAAGATATCTGAGCCAGTGTATGACACACTCCCTCAGTCCCAGGACTCAGAGGCAGGTGGATCTCAGCGAGTTGGAAGCCAGCCTGGTCTCCATAGTGAGTTCCAGGACAGCCAGGGCTACATAGTGAGACTGTCTAAAAAGGCAAAAACAAACAAAAAAAAAGATATCTGAATAGTCCTTTGTGCAAAACATGAAGGTATTTTTTTCTTTTGGAGATGAGATTGTGTGATATTATTCAAGCTGCCCCCAAATTTTTGGCCTCAAGTGATCCTTGTTCCTCAGCCTCCATGTAGCTGGAATTTCAGGCTCATGCCAACACCCAAGTGAGCTCCTAGTACTTCTCTTCACGGAAGCACGCTCTTGATTGGCACCAGGCACAGAGTGGGCACTCAAATTCAGCACACAGCAAACAAAAGCACACACAGCACAGCTTTCCATGTGTGCCTTACGTAATCCCAGCTTCTTCCCTGTCGTCTGCCACACAACTCAATGAGTATCTTTGTTCCCATTTGACAGGTGATTTAGTGTCTCACTGACAATAAACACAAGTCAGGTTAGCCAAGGACACCTAGTTAGGAAAGAAGTGGTCGCTGAAGAGACTTCCTCTGTTAAGCAGGGTTCCGAGAACAGAACAGAGCTGAGGTGACAGAGCTCAGAAAGTTCTATCACCGGGGTAGTCCAGTGGGCTGATTCCCACTGTGTACTTCATAGGCTTCGGGCTGGTGTTGTTCAAGGTAATTCACAGTTGATGTGCCCGTAGGAATAATAATACTATTTCTTTCTGTATGTAGTCTATTCTCATTATTCTTGTAATTGTATTCATAAAATCACTGTAAACACTGAACTAGCAAATACCACTTTCCTAGATGATCAAGTTCCTATAAGCTTTGGTAAACCAGTCAATGTATAACTTTATTTTGCGTATGCTTGTAGTTTGTTGTTATTTTGATATGGGATCATACTATATTGCCTAGTCTGTTCTTACACTGCTGGGCTCAAATGATCCTCCTGCCTCAGCCTCCTGGTAACTGGGACTATAGTGTACCTTGCTTCTGTTTAAAAGCTACCTTATTTGATCTATATTGAGAACTCAAATTTGATCCATTGAATTCACAGCCAACATCTCAGATCTAACACATTCTTCTACCTTTGGGTGCATAAGAATACTTGATAGCATTCCAGTACTACACTTGGGTCATCTTAAACATTGGAAGAAACAAAACCTCACAGACATGAAGAATATGATGCTAAATAGACCACAGAGAGTAAAGTCTGAGAGTGGAGAAAAGAAGGTAGAGTGGCCACACCCCTCACCAGGGAGGGGCAGCGGGAAACAGACTTCTTGCTGCTCTGTGCCGTCTTCCATGGACTGTGAAAGCCATAAGTACTGACCTGGGCTACAGATTTTAGTGACAGGAAAGCTTAACATGAACTCTACAAATAAAGTCTGCTGTGTTCATGCTTCACATTTTCAAATATCTTCAGTGTCATAGGTTACACACACAGCTTGTCTCCGTCTAGAAGATTGTAAAATTAGGAGAACGAGCTGTGCAGACTGACCTGTTCCTGTGCCAATCACCCAAAGGGCCACTCTTCTAGGCTTGCAGCCTGTGCAGGCTGGTGCTCACCAGGCCTCAGTCTTGGCAGGCGTTCTGCTTTTGACCTCCTGAATGTCTCAATTGATTTTTAAAACAAGAATTCGGTAGTTTCAGCTTCACTGGAGCTCACCAATTTTCATCACAATACATGTAAACAGATTAGTGATTAGGGAGACCAAGATATACTGTTTACTTGTCAGGTAGACTACACCTTTTTCTTTTCAAAGCGCCGAATTACGTGATAAATTGCATGACTGTTTGTGGAGGATGGGCAATAGACTCTGATAGGTACTAGTTCATCTAGTCTATGTGATACTCTGAGCTGGTTGTCTTCACTGACTTGTCAGGAAGCTGAAGGCCGGAGAAGGTGAGTAACTTAAAGTGTGTGTGTAGTAGGTAGCGCAGGTAGCACATAGACCCAAATGACCACAAGTCCATTGTTTTACCTCTGCGTTCCACAGATGAGTGTTGGGCTCAAATTTGTAAGTGATATAAAGTGGTAATTTTGTGATCCCAGTGAACCTTGCATGTCTGTATATCTTTTGCAGTAGATCCATAAAATGGGCTTTCAACAAAATATGAATCCTACATCTATTTGTTTTTCATATGTACATCATCCAGAGGATAACAATACTATCAAAGCCAGGCTGAGAATGTCAGTGGTAGAGTTCTTGTCTCAAATATGCAGTTCCTAGTATCGTCCAAAAGTATTAAAGGAGATAGAATTTAGAGTTTAAGTTCTGATAAATTTGTATCTTTAGTAAGAGATATTTAATGATTAAATGAGGTATTTGAGCCAACTAGGTTTATCCATTGTTTGTTTAGTTTTGTGTTTTTGTTTTTTTGATTACGGTATCTATACATAGCCCTGACTGTCCTGAAACTTACTATGTAGACCAGGCTGGCCTTGAACTCACAGAGATGCACCTGCCTCTGCCTCCTTAGTACTGGGATTAAAGGTATGCACCATCACACCCAGGCAAATTATTCTTGATAATTTTTATTGTCACATTATCAATTGGTACTTAGAATGGTTAGTGTTACTAAAACAACTCAAATTATTTGATGTTAATTGTTCTACAAAGCATTTTTAATTCCTTTAATTAAAAATTGCCAGATCCAAATGCCAGGCCCTGCAGTCTGCATTCCCAGCAGCCTAAGGTGGTTCTTCAGAGGTTTTTTGAGAGGATTGGATCAGCAATTTTTGAGAGGATTTTTTTCTTCCTTCGGCAATAGATATCTAAAGAGATCTATTTAAATCACTTAAATACCAGCAGACTATTTTAGGTAGTTTATACATTATCTTTTGTATGTGTTTTATTGTTGTTTTGTTTTCTGAAGCAGGAGTTCACTCTATCCCAGGCTGACCCAGAGCTTACTCTGTAACCCTGGCTGGCCTTGAACTCAATACAATCATTCTACCTCAACCTCCTGAATGCTGAGGTTACAGGTATGAGTGCTAAGGCACCCAGGTTTAACTGCTTCTTAACGGGCTCCTCCATTATAATTATACTTTGTTCAAACTGCAGCAGATATTGTAAAAGATACAGCTCTAAGCTCACAGATTTCCCAAAGCAGAAAGATAAAACAGAAAAGGTTCATAAGTCAGAGATGGAAACATAAACTGCTGGCCCATCTTAGATCAGTCACAGGCTATTGTGGCAGGAAAATACAACATTAGTTGTTGGGTGCTGCTGAATTTTGCAGTATTTGGGGGACAATAATGACCCGAGTCGGTTCTGTAGCATGTTTCGAAACATGGTCTTGCAGAAGAAGAAAGTACTGGTAAATGTGGATATGATGGTGAATCTGGCTTCTGAATTGGACAGGAAACTAATAAGCAATGTGTTTGCAGGACGGCAAGAGTCAGCTGATAACTGGTGTGCTAACAAAATGGCATCTGTGAACAAGAGCATTGATGTGAAAAGAGACAGACCGAGCAGAAAGCAGCTTCTGGAAGAGATAAATGAAAAGCGTGAGTCCTACTGTCTGGTGGAGAGAAGCAATCAAGTTAGCTTCCTGCGAGTTCAGAAGAGGCACTTCAGCCAGGCCTACCAGTCTTTAGCTTCTGTGAATGTCAAAGAGTCTGTTCCTGAAAGTGACAGGACCTCCTGGGTCGGTCGGGGCCTCTTTGTTCGCAAGGAGAGAAGGCACTTTCCACCGAAAAGTAAGATAATATGGTAGGACTCCTACCAACCTGCAGGAGGGATAAATATGGAGACTCAGCAGAATTTCTGGGTTGAAAGGGGTTCGAAGACATTGCCCTGGGGGTCTCTGAAGGCAAAAATAGATTATTTGGTATAAGCCCCACTACAGACCAGAGACTCACTTTCTTGTGTCTGTAGGACCCCAGGCCCCACCACAGGCCAGTTCGTTCAGTGGACTGGTGTTTGGGCCCTGCAGTCTGCATTCCCAGCAGACTAAGGTGGTTCTTAACTGCCTGACAACCACATTTTGAGAAAAACTGCATTTCCTTCAGAGACCTCCTGTGTCACCAATTTCGTTGTCTACAGAATTTGATGTTCAAAATTGAAGTAAAATGGGTTTTTAGTAACAAATGTGACATGTAATGCCAAAAGAAACAGTAATAAAACTATGGAGAGAAGTTGGGTGAGGGGCGGTGTTTTGGTATTGTTACAAATATGGATTGTGACTATCTATCTTGCAGTCAAGTCAGGCAACTGACAATATCTTCTCATTTATTTAGAGAAAGTGTGCATATGTAATCATATTCAACATAGCCAATGCATTACTAATTTAGTTCACAAAGACTGGCTCACATTGACCATTAGTGGCCATGACTTTGCGTTTGGCCAGTGTCCTTAGGGAGTGGTGGTACAGTGTGGCATGGAAAACCCAGACACTGTATTGTGATTTGAGGTTAGTCTGTAACAATTGTATTTCTTTTTTTAAAAAAAAAAACATCCCAGCACTCGGGAGGCAGAGCCAGGCGGATCTCTGTGAGTTCGAGGCCAGCCTGGGCTACCAAGTGAGTCCCAGGAAAGGTGCAAAGCTACACAGAGAAACCCTGTCTCGAAAAAAAACAAAACAAAACAAAAAAAAAACAAAACAAAAAAAACCCAAACAAACAAAACTCAACTATCTTTATAAAAAAGAATGCTTTGCCATTCCTAATTCTAAAAGAAAAAAGTACAGTTCTTTACTGGAACTATTCAGAACAGCAATATGTCAGTTCTCAGCACTTTGATGGTAGTGAGAACGTCCCCCTTAGAGGAACATGCGTGGTTTCATATAATACAGAGCAGGACCATGCATGGTTTCATACAATACAGAGCAGGACCATGCGTGGTTTCATACAATACAGAGCAGGACCATGCATGGTTTCATACAGTTCAGAGTCTAGCATGTCTAATCCCACAACTAGCTTTCATACTGTCAAAACTGTAAACCAATAACCCCTAAACATTACGTCTTTCATATTTAGAAAGCCCCTTGCCTTTGATTTGAGTTTTGTTGAGAAATAGGATGAAGATAAAAATGCTGGCTTATTGAAAAAACAGACCTTCACTGGAGAAACTCACTAAAAAGAGGTCAACCAGCCATTCCCAGAGCAGAACTTGAGGTCTGCTGCTCTCGGCTGAGAACAAATGACAGAGAGAGCCCTGGAGGCCAGCAGGTGCAGAGAAGATCATTTGTTAAGTTAGGAGCTGGGACATTATGGTTTGATAAAGGCATTAATTTGGTAGGTTTCAACAAATTAAGTTATACATATCAGTTGCTACAAAGTAACAGCCTCTCTTGGGAAGACAGTGCTCTCCTATCCTGAATGTTGAAGGGTGAGGAGGTCCAACACCGGCCTTGTGGTCCTCTCCGGGAACCTCATGCAGGCAGCTGGTAGACTGTACAGTTACTTTCTGTTACTGTGATAGGACATTTTGAGTTACAGCTCCAGAGGGTTAGTGTCCATAATGTCAGGGTGGAGGGAGCAGGCAGGCATGGCGGGTGGAGCAGGAGGCTGAGAGCTCACATCTTGGACCTGGTGCACAAAGCAGAGAGATATCTGTGAGGAGAGTGAAGCCCTAACCTCTCAAAGCTCAATCCCAGTGACATACTTCTGGCAAGACTACGTCCCCTAAACTTCCCCAAACAGCACCATGAACTGGGGACCAAGTGTTCAAATGCCTGAGCCTGTGGGGACATTGCCATTCAGACAACTGCCAGAGGACTTACATTTCATCTCTTTTCTGATGACCCCCTTTTTAATTTCTGACCCCTCTTCTGCCCTTCAGCCATGAATACTATCTATCACATTGCCACTCTACTTGAAGTCACCTACAGTTTAGTATCGCTGAGACAAAATTCCTCTTACCAAACACATCACTTGTCACCAGCCTTACCTTCCTCATCTGGGAAAGTAGCCAAAGTGGAACTCTGGCCCTCACACTCCACACTCAGTGTGTGAACGAGTCCTATCAATTCCTCCTCCAAAATCAGTCCTGAATCTGAACCCGCCACTACACTGGCCCAACCTATAATCAAAGAAGTGTGTCAGGGGCCTCTGGCTGCCTAGTTTGCACCCTTTCTGCTCCCACATTTACTTCACAGGACAGCCTGAGTGAACGGTTCAGAACATGTTACCCGCTGCACAAAACTCATCTGTGGTTTCCTACCACGCTGAAGACAAAAATCCACATCCCACCCTGTGCTGCACACGCTGAGGGTAAAATCCACATCCCACCCTGTGCTGCACACGCTGAGGGTAAAATCCACATCCCACCCTGTGCTGCACACGCTGAGGGTAAAATCCATATCCCACCCTGTGCTGCACACGCTGAGGGTAAAATCCACATCCCACCCTGTGCTGCACACGCTGAGGGTAAAATCCATATCCCACCCTGTGCTGCACGGTTCTCCATGAACAGTCCAGGTGCAGACCTCCTTTTCTCACCCCGGCCTCTCTGCTTCACTTTATTCCTCTTCTGGGACGTGCTGAGCCGGCTCCCACTTCAGGAACTTGGCACACGCTCTTCTCCCTCCCCCCCCCCCCCCCCCCGCCCCTTTGTGTGTGTGTGTGTGTGTGTGTGTGTGTGTGTCTGCCTGCCTGCCTGTCTGTCTCAAATATGCAGTCCCCACAGGTAATCCCAGCACAAGAACAAAGAAATGAAGTTAATGACCCTCTCTGCCCTTCAGGTTATCCCAAGAACCGTGCAATAGATTGGAGACTGAGATGTATTTCTTTGTGATGTTTTGCTTGTGAGTCTAGCCTTTCATCATCTCACCAGCCCAATGTATTTTTTATCTTTCAGATAATGCCATATTTGGATAAAGTACATGTCCAGAGACCACACAAATAAATTCTCTTCCATCAGTCTTCAATGTCTGTGAATTATTTAGAAATACTATGAACGAAACTGGCCTGGTGTCATGGTGAGCACCTGTAACCTCAGCACTCAGGAGGACAGTGAACTCCAGGCCAGCCTGGGCTATATTTCAGGCCCTTGTCCCTACGTTTTCACTTCCCAGCAGTAGATAGCTAGTTTAGAGTAGCCTGAAGGGTGGCCTCCTACTTTCATGAGCTTGGGCACTAGAAGAAGAAATGAAACCCTTGGTTCACAGCCGAGAACTCTGGCTCTCGCTGATTCTCTTCCCCCAGCCCACTGCCTCAGAACCCTCAGGGCTAGGCAAAGCTGCCAGGTAGACAGACACAGGTTTTGGCTGCCAGGTAGATGATAGACACAGGTTTTGGCTGCACGGCAGAGGGCCTCTGCTGAACATAAACAACCCAGCCTTTGCCTGTAAGGAGACTTTATCTTTATTGTGTGAGGTGACCAGGCCTCTCTCTGCTCCAGGGGGAGACCTTATCTCTGTCTTCTGGGGCGATCACCTGGTATCAAGGCTATCAGAGCCTCTGCCCCCTGCCTGGACAGAAACAAGAGACCAGATCTACTGAGCTTGTGCCCTAAGCAGTCCAATTAGAGATAACAAGGCACACTGTTCTCTAGGGATGAGCACAGAGCAGCGAATGCCAGGTTATACACAGTCGTTGCACCCCTCCACCTCCTGTCCCTGACCCCATCCCCCCTCCTGTAGGGATGTCTCTGCCTTCGTAGAACTGGTTGCAGTTCTCTGAACTTGCCTCTGTCTCTGAGCTCCCTCTCCTCCTGTGGTTCATAATTCCTTCCTTTGGCCCTTCCCATTAAATAGTTCTACTTTGCCCTGTGTACCCTATAGCAGTCTTAAGCAAAGCCAGAAACTCAAAAGTACAGTTGTCTTTGGACTCTGACCCTTCCTGAGACAGCAGACATCCTCTCACCTCCTGGGAGCGCTTCCTATCGGTCAGTGACATGTGATAATGCCCTGGCTTCCTGCAAGGTGGGGGGGGCAGTTGAGTCCATGGGATTCTCGCTGCTTCCCCACTACTCTGGGAAGGACATTGGTGGTGTAGCATTGTCATGGTTGTCACAGACAGCTGGTACTTCCTCTCTAAGCTCCGACCGACTTCATGTCCTTTCCCAGAACTGCAGTATGCCCAGAGAGATGGGATGGCAAAGCTAGAGGCCAATCAAAGCCAACTAGACCATGACCATCTATACGGGCTTCTGAACGAGAAGGGCCTGGGTCAATATAAGGGCTGGGTTGATTCCTCAGTATGGATGGGCTGTGTGAGGATACACAGACATAAAGGCCCTTACTCAAGTTTGTATTTTTCCTTGAGTAGAAGAGACTCCACTTAGGAGCAGAGAATCTGCACATTTCTCTCAGAGATTTTGCTGAAAACACTCTTCATATTATGACCTCCTTTGTAGGCTCTTCCTCCTCTATGAGAATGTGAGACTGGTTACAGAGCAGCTGGACCTCAGACACTGTTCCTAGGCTGGGGCGGTGGCACATACCTTTAACCTTGGCACTCAGCAGGCAGAGGCAGACGAGTGTTCAAGGCCAGCCTAGTTGGTGTACCTAGTGAGTTTCAGGCCAGCCAGGCTTACAGGGAGTTGGGGGGGGGGGGGCAGGAATGGAAAAACAATTCACTGCAGCCACATTGGGAGGAAGTCAAGAGGCCATCATTAGGGTCTGTGCATGGGGATTAGAGTTAAACAGTGGAAACGTATGTATAAGTAAGTAGTCCTGATCAAGATGTATTCTCACCCACCGTTGACACATCACTGTCTAGGCTCTGGTCTGTCCTGTAAGGTGGTCTGACAAGTTGTCAGACCTGTATAATCTCTTCTTGGGAGACAAGTTCCTCCTCTAGCTGGCACCAGATTAAAGGTTGTGATTTCTGGGGAAATTCCAGTTCCTTGAGGTTCACTGTTTTAATATTCTGATAGCCAGCTAAAAGGATGGGTACAGTTGTCTCTTTATAATAATGCAAGTCTTGTATGGGGGTCCAAGGGGACAATGGGACAGACTATTGTGTCATTAATAAAGGGTTATTAATGTCACGGACCAACAACAGCATAGCAGGGGTTCTGAGGAAAGCTTGATAACATGCTGGGTTGCTAAAGAGAGGAATAGGCCCCCCATGGTGGAAGTGGAGGTCTCTGCTTATCTCTGAGGACAGTGGAGGTTTCACAGCACAAGCCTTTAGCCAGACTCTGATTCCCAGGCAGGAGGCTGGACAGGGTGGGGAGCAGGATGAGTGACTACCAATACCCCTTGGATGTAAATCACTCCCCCAGAAGTCTGTTAGCTAGAGGTTCATGGTGTTCTCTGCAGGGGCTGTGGTATCTGTGAGAGGAAGGACTGCTGTAGGCACCGTGACCCAAGCAGCAGATGGATTCTAACATTACAGTCTTAAAAATACCTTCGCCAAGATGCCAGGACTAGTACAGTATCTCAATGGCTGCCATCACCCCATTGAAGCCTGTCACACTTCATTGTGCCCTAACTTCTATGCTTAAGTACAAGGTGACAGGCTTCCTAATTTCAAGAACCAATTAACAGGTGCATGGCCAAGCTGGGCCAGTCTCTGTCCTGTTATCTTCCCCATCAGTGAAACCAGCAAACATCTCCACCCTGCCTCACAGAGGCCTGCTCACTTCCTTATTTGCCAGGTACAACTGCTTAGGAAGCTGAGACAGCATGGCTGAGCCACACAGTGAAATGTGTCTCTTTAAGGTGTGGGGGAGGAATATCTCAGTGCTCTCACAACTGCTGTTTCTTCTGGAAAAGGCCCTTTCCCTGTACAACTCAGATCTGGTTCCTTCTTACCGGCACACCTCAGCTAGGCCATTGTGCCCAGAGGCACACTGACTGCCACATCTGAAGTATATCGAACTCTGCCATGCACACACTCATTATTAAGTATTCAAAGACGAAAATCCATGGAGCATCTTTTTTATTAAGAATTTTTTAATTCATTTTACATACCAACCACAGATCCCCCCTCATCATTCCCCCTGCTCCCCTCCCCAGCCTTCCCCCCTCCTGACCCACCTCCCATTCCTTCCTCCAAAAGGGTAAGGCCTCCCCTGGGGAGTCAGCAAAGCCTGGTACATTCAGTTGAGGCAGGACTAAGCCCCACAGGTAATGGGCTCCAAAAAGTCTGCTCATGCACCAGGAATAGATTCTGATCCCACTGCCAGGTGCCCTTCAAACAGACCAAGCTACACAACTATCTTTCATATGCAGAGGGCCTAGTGCGGTTCCATGCAGGCTCCACAGCTGTCGGTCTAGAGTTGGTGAATTCCCACAAGCTTGGTTCAGTTGTCTCTGTAGATTTCCCCATCATGATCTTGATGCCCCTTGCTCATATAACCCCTCTTCTCTCTTCGACTGGACTCCCAGAGCTCAGCCCAGTGCTTGGCTGTGGATCTCTGGATCTGCTTCCATCAGTTACTGGATGAAGGCTCTCTGATGACAGTAGGTAGTAGTTGGGGTGAGCCGGCTCAGGCACCCTCTCCACCATTGCTAATGATCTAAGCTGGGGTCATCCTTGTGGATTCCTGGGAGCTTCCCTAGCACCAGGTTTCTCCCTACCCCATGACGTCTCCCTCTATCTAGATATCTCTTCCACTGCTCTCCCACTCCATGGAGCATCTTCCATAAGCCTGTGGTTAAGTGGGGGAAAGCAGGGTTGGGGCGGCGGCGGGGGAGGGGTCCCTTGAGGCTTTCCTCCCTCAAGTGGGCAATAACTCTGGAAGCTAGCGTGTCTGTGGTGTTTTCCCAGTCTGCTCCAGGACTTGGCTAATTGAAAGTTGGAACCCAGGGTTTCAGCAGCCAAGCCAAATTTCTTTTTATAAAGTTTTAAGAAATGATTATTATTTATATTCATGTTTACGTGTGTCTGTGTAGGGTATGCCGCGTGTGTGCTAGTGCCAGAGGAGGCCAGAGAGGGGCTGCATCTTCTGGAGTTGGAGGGAGCCGCAGGCAGTTGCAACCCACCCACCGTGGGTGCTGGGAACTGCATGAGTCCTCTGGAAGAGCAGCAAATGAGTGCTCTTAGTGGCTGGGCCGTCTCTCCAGCCCAGAATTTGTTTTAAAGAGAAACATTTCTGTAAAACTATGACTGCTCTCCATATAAACCGGCTTCCTCATGTCAGACCATTAAAGCCAACGCTTGCTTTCCCCAGTGCGGCCCTGAGCTGACTTGGCCGGGCAGTGGGTGGTTTTGAAGCTATTTCTGGAGCAGGTACCGAAGCCTGGGAAACAGTTTTAATGCATTCTGTGTTGTCACTTCTTGGACTTCTTCCACTGAGATCCCTTTCACTTGGGCAATGAATTCTGCTGAAATGGAAATGTTGCAGGGCTCATTCCGTGTCTGAAAGAGAACAAAGCTGAACACTCAAAGTCTATACAGATCCTTGGAGACGGCAGCTAAGACACACACACAAGAATGAGCGGTACAACCCCCGATGAGCTACTTTTCTACTCTGAAGGAATTGACATTTCTTTACTAATGCTTTTTTAAGTGAGGGGATGAACTTGACAGGGTGTGGCTACAACACTGACTATGTCCCTGCTGCCCAGAAAAGAACCTAGAGGCATGTGCAGTTGAAGCCCTGAGCACCAGCATATGAAGCAGTCTACACCTGAACCCAGGAGAGCAGCTTGTCTGAGGGCTAGCCATCTTTGCTTTTTTGCACGCATGAGTGCTAGGAAAGGTCATTGCACTCTCCTTGGCCTCTCACCTCACAGGCCACCTGCCCAGTGTGACTTAAAATGCCCCGGGGACTGGAAAGACTGCTCAATTAGGCTCTGCCATATCACTGACTTTTAATACCTGTGAAATAAATAAGCATTTTGCTTACACTCAGTGGTATGTCTTAACCAAAAAAAAAAAACAAAACAGTATTTCTTTAATCAATAGCATTTAGATTTAGTGAAAAATATTCCTGTAATTATTAATAAGTGGATATTTGGGATAATAATTCGAGGAATAAAATTGTTAAGTAAAAAATACTTGATAATACAGACTAAAAAAGTAAGAACTATGTCAAAGATTCACATTCAAAGCTGTTCATCATAGTACTTAAATTACAGACTGGCTGAACGTGGTGGCACACATCTAGATCCCCGGCACCTGGGAGGCAGAAGCAGGAGGATCAGGAGTTTAAAGCCTAACCTGGCTACACACTGACTTTGAGGTCAGTCTGGCTACATGAGACCCTGTCTTAGAAAATTAACACACACACTTGTGTGTGTGTGTGTGTGTGTGTGTGTGTGTGTGTGTGTGTGTGTATGACTAATACAAAGGTTTTTTTAAAATTATGCCTTTATTATTTTATGTGTATGAGCATTTTGCCTACATGAATGTGTGCAAACCACATGCCTGCCTGTTGTCTGTGGAGGCCAGAGGAAGGCATTGGGTTCTCTGGAACTGGAATTGCAAATGGTTGTGAGCCATGATGTGGGTACTGGGAATAGAAGCCAGGTCCTCTGGAAGAACACCCAATGCTCTTAACCCCAAAGCCATTCCTCCTAATACCAAGTTTTAACAGTGGAACATTACGTGGTTATTAAACACTGAGGAAAAGTACAGCTATAATATATATTTCTGACAGAAGGTATGAAATAGTGTGTTCAGGCTGACCCTATCTTAAGGATATATATATATATATATCTTAAGGCATACACACACACACACACACACACACACACACACACACACACACACACACACACACACGTATATGGATAGAATGGTCTGGAAGGACCTGAGACCTTAAACCTAGTGATTTTTCATAGATAAGGCTTCATTCCCTTCCTGGAATGTCTCATTTCACCCCTATGAGACAGTATCCTGTTCGCAGGAAAGATGATATCCTAAAAAGCTAATGAAGCTGGGCATGGTTGCTTTAACACCGGCACTGGACGCCCGGTGTGGTGGTGTGCGCCTTAAGCCCAAAACTCCGGAGGCAGAGGCAGATGGATCTCTGCGAGTCTGGGGCCAGCCTGGACTATAGTGTGAATTCCAGGACAGCAAGGGCTGTTACACTGAGAAACCCTGTCTTGGAAAAACAAAACCGAACCAAAATAAAATAAAACAGAAAGAAAAGGAGGACTCTACAGGAAACACGGCCTCAATTTAGGATCCGAGTACTGCAGCGAGTCCCAGCCAAGCCAGAATAGCCCCGACAGAAGACGCCTCTGTACCCCATAAACCAGCGATCCACGTACCAGTTTTTCTGGTCCCAGTGCAGGTGAATCTGTCTCTAAGCAGATAGAGCTTAAAGGCAGCTGTTTCACAAGCTTCTGCTTCTTAGAGAGAAGAGAGTTAGCTTTAAACAGGTGGGAATGGAACAGCATTAACTTACCGCGGATGAGTCTTAGCTCGCAGGACTAACACCCGTCTTTACAACTAAATCACCGTGCTATCTAGACAGCTACCATGCTCTCACCAGCCTTCTTCGAGTGGCCACTTTAAAACAGAACAGCAGCCCGGCGGTGGTGGCGCACGGCTTTAATCCCAGCATGGGGGTAGAGGGTGGGGTAGAGGTGCAGAGCCAGGTGGGTCTATGCAAGCTGGAGGCGGCCAGCCTGGTCTACAGAGTGAGTTCCAGGACAGCCAGGGCTGTTACACAGTGAAACTCTGTCTTGAAAAACAACAATAAAAACAACAACAACAAACAATATTGGCTCTTACATTTAGGCCTTGATGCATTCTTTTTTTTTTTTTTTTAAAGATTTATTATGTATACAGAACAGGGCGCCAGATCTCATTACAGATGGTTGTGAGCCACCATGTGGGTGCTGGGAATTGAACTCAGGACCTCTGGAAGAGCAGTCGGTGCTCTTAACCTCTAAGCCATTTCTCCAGCCCGATGCATTCTTTTTTAATGATTGATTTTATTTGTATGTATAGTGTGTGTGTGTGTAGAGAGAGAGAGAGATTTGTGCATGCGTACACAGAAGAGGGTGTCAGTTCATCTGAAGCTGGAGTTACAGCTGGTTGTGAACCGCCGACGTGGGTGCTGGGGACAGAATTCAAGTCCTCTGACTCTTTTTGGTTGTTGTTGCTGTTTTTGTTTTGTTTTTTTGTTTTTGAGACAGGGTCTCACTATGTAGCTCTGGCTGGTCTTCAACTCACTATGTAGACTAGGCTGGCCTCGAACTCTGAGATAAGCCTGCCTCTACCTCATCAGTGCTGGGATTAAAGGTGTGCACCACGTCCAGCATCAGAGCGGCACTCTTAACTACAGAGCCATCTCCCTAGCCCCTCTCGGGTCCTTTTGTCTTATTTTGTTTCTCTGTTTGAATAGAGACTTAAGATTAACTTTTGAAATGTAACCATAAGCACCACAAGTTTGTCACAAAGCTTAGGTTTTAAACTGTGTCACACATAGTGTTCAGTAAGTCTTAATGAGAGGCTTTACCTGTCCACTTCTCACGATGGACGGTGGGATTGAGAAGTAGTAACCCGCCCTTACTCCTTCCATGGCTACCGATGGCCGACCATCGAATGCATGCAGCAGGACCTGTTCAGCACCTGCATAAAAATCAGTGTCAGTACTGATTACTGACAAATTCATCAGTGACCACACCTCTAACTGCAGCATCTGTTTTTTCAAATACTGTGAATCTTCACTATGATCATACATTTTTTTGTAAAATTTATTTAGTAGGTCACAATCAACCAATGTGTGTTTTTTATACACACAACTGTAAATTAAAAACACACCTGTACACAAACATGTACTGCTAAATGTCTGACAGGATTTTTTATGCAAATAGGAGTCTAAAAGTAAGGTGAATGGCATTTTAAACTCTGGGAAAGAATGCTGTAAGTTATATTCACATCAGGAACGTCCAGGGCATGTGACTGCTCTTTCAGTCACGTGATGGTCACAATCTGCCTAATCCTGTTGTGTTATTTACTTATTCTTCATATATATTTATTGTATATATGTGCTTGTACAAGCACCCATGTGCCATGGCAGAAGTCAGAGGACAACTCTGTTATTTACTTATTCTTCATATATATTTATTGTATATATGTGCTTGTACAAGCACCCATGCGCCATGGCAGAAGTCAGAGGACAACTCCCTAGAGACTTGTTCCTCTCTTGCTATCTGATGGGATCTGAGAACTGAAATCTGGTCAACAGGCTTGTGTACAAGCCCCTCTATTACCTGGCCCCAAAGCAACAGACTGAAAACATGCAGGAAAACACAGTGCATAATGAGACTGTCCTTCTGGCCTTATTCTCTTTCTTATTAGAGCCAGGGGCTGGAGAGATGGCTCTGTGGTCAAGAGCACTTGATGCTCTTGCAGAGGACCCGGGTTCAGTTCCCAAAACCCACATGGCACAACTATCTATACCTCTAGTTCCAGGGGACCTGATGCCCTCTTCAGGCCTCTGAGGAGACCTGGCGCACATACAGTGAACACACATATATGCAGGCAAAACACTCATACACATAAAACAAAAACAAATAAATCTAAAGAAAAATAGAAATTGGAGCTTCAAGTTTTCATTTGCTCTAGCGGAGCCTGATAAACACATAACTGCACAAAAACAATCTTGTAAATATTAGCCTGGCATACAGACTCATCCCAGTGGGTCTCTATCTTTCCTCTTGCTGCATTCCCTTCTCTTTAAGGAATCAAATGGAACACGCTTGCCCCTTCAACCCTCAGCTGGAATTGTGAAGCTTGTATATTAGGAACGTAAGTACCTTGTTCACGTAAGAGGTTGATGGTGGGTCTTCCTGCTGAACGCGAGTGCACATTTCTGTTTAACAACAACAGAATTCCTTTTACATAGACTGTTTTTGTTGTTTTAAAAATAATTCAGGAGGCTGGAGAGACGGCTCAGCTACTCTTGCAGAGGACAAGGTTTGGTTCCCAGCACCCACACGGCAGCAGCTGGTTAACAGCTCTAACTCCAGTCCCAGGGGACCCAATGTCCTTTTCTGGCCTCCACAGGCACCGCAGACACATGGTCCACAGACATACATGCAGGCAAACACCCAGACACATAAAGAATGAATTAAAAAAAATAACTCAGAGGAAAAGGGATACAGAACTCATTTCAAGAGGACCAGCTGTTACAGAATTTGCTCTGTAGTTCTGAGCAGAAAGATAGTTCACCTACAAAGGCACATTTAGTCTTTTGGCCAATTGGACCTGTCTGATCAGGACCTGTCTTTGTTCTTCCTTCTCTTCATCAGTGCCTGCAACCCTGGGGGAGAAGTCTAGTCCCACCTGTAACAGAAAGACAAAAGATCATGGCCTCTCCATGTGTGATGAGCCCAAAGAGACATGAGTCAGCACGCAGACCACACGCACCACTACACAGCAGCCACAGGAAATGTTAGCCAAAGTAGATACAAGTAACTTTAACAGTCCATTGGATACACCCCAACTTCTAAGTTGTTTTGCTTTCCTCTTGTGGGGTACTCCAACTCTAAAGCTCATCATGTATGTCACACATCTCAGTTTGGCACAGTGACATTGCAAGTGTTCAGAAGTCACACATGGTCACTGCACTGGGCAGCACAGATTACAGGTGACCATTCTCATTGATGCTACTGGGGCATGTAGTCTATGACCTCTATTCGGAATGACTTTCTTAGCTTTTATATTTAGTGGAAGTAGAATTTTTTAAATAAAATTTAATAGAATTTTTAATAGACTTTAATTAAAATTCTTTACCATTATTAATAATTTAAGTAACACGGTCTTTAATCACAAACTCAAGATTAAAGTATACCTTTATGTTACTTATAAAGGTTGTTTGTTTGTTTGCTTTTTGAGACAAGGTTTCTGTATAACCACCCCAGCAGTAGTGGAACTTGCTCTGTGGATCAAGCTAGCCCTAAACTCACAGGATCCGCCTGTCTCTGCCTCCCAAGTGCTGGGATTAAAGAGATGGGCCACCACCGGCCAGCACTGTTGATGTTGTTTCAGTTACATTTATTGGGTGGAGGGACACACAGGGATGCCACAGTGCACATGGTGAGGTCAGAGGACAACTTTCAGGAGTCAGTTCTCTCCTTCCACCATGTGGGTCCAGGTTCTCAAGCTTGGTGGCAAGTGCTTCCACCTGCTGAACCATTTCACTGGCCCTCCCTCTACAGACTGTTTTAGCTTCTCAGAGCAAAGGCTACACTTGAGCAAAAGCAAAGTCTTTAGAAATATTACATCATCATCTCCCATTAATAAAAGTCTAGAGTAAGGCTTTCTATTGCTTCATTCCCAATAGTATCAAGTTATTAGCAGGCTGAACCGGGTGAAAAAACTATCCAAGTTGCTTATAATCACTAGTACTGATTACTACACATATCCCATGAAGATCTGGATTAGACATCATCTGATCAGCAAATGGGTTTACCTCTCCAATTGCCAACAACCGATCCTTGTAATTCTCAATAATAGGCAAAGCTACATCCAGATCCTACGAGGAAAAAAAATGTATTAATGCTGAGAGTAGGAATAATAGTTCCTTATTTTGAACTATGTCCAGGTCCTATGCCATACTGGAACTTCACACACTGAATCCATTTAACTAACCTATGGCATAGGAATCATCATCTCTATCATGTCAGCAACTCTAACTAGAAATATGAGTAGGAACATCCACCCACACATGTTCTGGTTACAGGCCCACCAAGATCCCACTTATACTTGGTCCTCTGCTTAGGAGGTGTTTCCTCACAGATTTGGAGGAACCTGGAGTGGAAACTGTGATTTGAAGTTCCTGGAGTGAGGGAACTGCTCACTCTTTTCCCCCAGGGTACTCCTGAGGAGGGAGAAGTGAGAAATATGTGGATAGAAATATGGAGGAGAAAGACAGAAACACAGGATAGCTCAGGAGGGCCTGGGTCAAAACGTACCACCCCCTTCTGTCTCTACTAAAGGGCTTTTACAGGAATGCCAAAAAGTAGAGAAAAAGACCTTCCCCCAGCACAGCCAAGCAGACCATCCCAGACACCTGGTGACCATGCACATGGTCAAGCCATCCCCTAATGCAGCTCTGCTGTGTAAAGCAAGTTCAGATCTAACTAGGAAACCTTTGTGGGCTCCCACAGGTCCCTCCTCTTAATTTTTTAAAGACCCCCTCAGGCCCCATCAGATAGAATGAGATCTGTCTTAGGTCATTCTCCCTGATTATTTCTTCCATTACCCATCATGGAGATATGCTTTCCATCAAGCATACTCTGTCTTAGGCTGGAAGCTATCAAGAGAAAGTTGCCCATTACTGACTCTCAGCCTCTGGCAGGGGGGAATACTGAGCTTAACTTAGCTTTGGCCCAGGTTCCTATTGAGCCATCTCCCAGTATAAGGACCATTTTCCCTTGCTTTCTAAGGGGTTTTTAAATGACTTGTTGATAAACAGTAGTGTTTTAATTATCTCCTGTGAGGCAAGCTGTTTGTTTGCTTTTAGCTTTTTGAGAAGTAAATCTAAGCTTTCTAGCAGTGCTTAGGAAAGAAACTTCACTTTCAGCTAAAAAAAAAAGAGGTTTTACAGGCAGTGCAGCCATTTTATCTGAAAAACTACATTTCCCATAATGCATTTCTCTATATTGGCCTGCTGTTGTGAATGACATTATGGACTATGTTTGGCACAATTCCTTTCCAGCCCACCACTTCCGTTTCCCTTTATATGGCCAAAGTCAAGCTTCTGCCTTGAGCCCAGGAGGTTTGAGTCAACCTTTTTGCTTTTTCACCAGGGGAGATTGGGAGATGTGGGGCAAACATGAGCTACAAAGATGGTGCTGAGAGGAAGTTAACCCAAGTTGTTTACACAGAGATTAGATACAAATGATACTGAGAGGAAGTTAGCCTAAGTTGTTTACACAGAGATTAGATATAAATGGTGCCGAGAGGAAGTTAGCCCAAGTTGTTTACACAGAGATTAGATACAAAAGATACTGAGAGGAAGTTAGCCCAAGTTGTTCATGCTAAGATACAAAGATCTGGAGATGATGTCAGTGCATAAATAGCTCGTAAACAAGGAAGTGAGTATAGGGTGACCTTTAAAACAATTGGTTGGTTCCTCCTACTCCCTCCTAGGGTTCTGAGTTTTTTTTGCTATAAAAGAGGCTTACTGCCTAAAAATAAACGAGTTCTTGCTTGACTTGACTCCCCACTGTGTTGGTTGTCTCCGGGTAAGAGGAAGGCTGGGAAATGTCGAGCAGCACACTTACTTTTCCTCCATTCCAGGCCACCTCTTCAGAGGTGACCTAAGTTCCTGTTGGGGCAAGACCCCACAGAGAGATGTCTATTCTCCCGGAGCTGGTATTGCTAGGTGTTTTTCCTTCCTGATACTGTCCCCGGAGTGAATTATACCTGCCTGCTCATGCACGCATATTCGGGCAGGTCCTTTTGTGCCAAAAGCAAAATCCCCTCAGGGCTTGCTCTTCTGAGTTACTGGGTCAGTGAAAGAAAGTGAAACTTGAAACAAAGCTTTTTCACAGCCCTTTCTGAGAGACATTTTCCCTGATAGATCTTTGTCTTGTCCCACTTGTCTCCTCCCCAAACACAGAGTCCTTGAGGCAGCCAAGGTTCAGCTTTACTGCTTCCTCCTTTATAGTAACCCTTCCCCAATTCCTGCACCACCTCTGTTGGGGTTCCACCTTGGGGAATCTGTCCCTGCTTCGGTCTTCTGCCTGCACTTTCTTGACAGGCCCTTACCTCAGGGAACTCTGGCTGCTGTTTTTTATTTCTAGCTTAGAGAGACAGGGCTTAGTAGAGAAGATTTGTCCAGTTCCAAGAGGTCTTTTTGTTTTTCTTAAAGCAAACCACAGGTGGTTATCCCATAGAGTTCCAGGTGAATCTAATTTTGCCTTTACAGAAAAGGAATCTCTGAGAAGCAAAGATCTTAAAGGCTTTTTTTTTTTTTAGAGAGAGATTAAGTTTTTCCCAAGAAAGCTTGTAGTTTTTGGAGAGAAAGACTGCCAAGTTTTCCCCAAACTTCTGTTCTCTAAACTTTGGCTTCATGGCCAAGAGGAAACTAATTCTAATGCTACAGTGTTTCTAGACAGTGCCATCATCTGCAGAGTGAAAAGTTTTATTTCACCTGCATTTGCCTCAGGGAAAATCCTTTCCCTGCCACTTGGGACCAAAAGCTTCCCACAGGAATCTTTTTCTCCCATTTCTTCCTCTGATTTTTCCCAGTTTTCATACATAGCCCCATGGTTAGAAAATTAAGGACATAGTTCCTCTGTCTTGCTGCTTATCTTATTCTAAGTTTTACTAATGCTATATTTGAACATCCTACTTTTCTAAGTTTTTTCTACACTATATTACTACACTCTACCTTCCTTATTTTTCATAGATAGAATTTTAAGAGAGAAAAAAAACAAAGAAACCTAGATAGAGAAAAAGATATGCTTCAGCCTCACTAGGGCATCTTCCAGCCCCTTTCACTCCCAAAAACAGATTACCCCTGCTTTAATTTCCATAACCGGACATGTCCTAACTTCCCACGGGGCCCTCAAACCCTCCTTTTGCCAAGTCCCTGGACCCTGTTTCCAGTTCCATTTGAGGGAGACATGCTCCCTCTTTTTCCCCCAGGGTACTCTTGAGGAGGGAGAAGTGAGAAGTATGTAGACAGAAGTATAGAGGAGAAAGACAGTTAGAAAACATAGGATAGCTCGGGAGGGCCTGGGTCCAAACCCACCAGCCCCTTCTGTCTCTACTAAAGGGCTTTTAAAGGAATGCCAAGGGGTGGAGCAAAAGATCTCCCCCAGCACAGCCAAGTGCAGACCATCCAGGGTACCTGGTGACCATGCACACGGTCACGCTATCCCCTAATGCAGCCCTGCTGTGTAAAGAAAGCTCTGATCTAACTAGAAAATCTTTGTGGGCTCCCACACTGGAGTGGGTGAGAAGACATGGGTGGTCATCATGCACATGGCTCTGTCTCCTCCTAAGTAGTGGTTTGTAAGTTTATAATAGTGGTAGTCCCATATTCCCTTTGTTCCTTTTTCATTGATTTGTCTTTATAACCTGCTTGGTCTATCTATAATAAGAGTTCAACAATATAAATAATGCATTTCATATATAATCTCGTCTGAGAACTACTGAAGTAGTGGTAGATTGTTAATTTCATTTAAGAGAATTTGATGGCGTCTTTCTAAGGCAAAGACAAAATTTAGAAATCACTTGTAGATAATTTTCAAAAGATTTTGTGTGTGTGTGTGTGTGTGTGTGTGTGTGTGTGTGCGCGCGCGCGCACGCGCACACGTGCGCACTGCTCAGTGAGTTACTTGTACCGTGTGTGCCGGTGTGTGAGGTCAGAGGGCATTGGAACTTGATACCTCAGGTGGCTGTCACCCTGATGTGGGTGTTGGCAACCCAACCTGTGATCTCTGCAAAAGCAGTGTGTGCTCTCACTGCTAAGCCATCTCTCCAGCTCCCTGTGGAACACTTTAAAGCACTCTGTGGGTTGTTTTCAGAGTATATAAACTGTAAAGCTCTTCTACTGGAGAAAACCAGAACAAGGAGAACCAAGGGAAGGAGGACAGGAGATGTTAGAGGTAAAAGAGGTGTGTGCTTGTGGGGACAGGGAGGCAGAGGTAGAGGGGATGCAAATTAAGGCCCTAGAAAGGCATCACAGCAGCTTGGTTAAAAGAATGCACACTGCCCTGAAGAGCTAGAAGTGTTGGACCCACATATCCAATACGCTCGTGGCAACACTGTCAGACAAGGCCTCTTCCTTCAAGGACATCCACACTATCTGCCTCTGGGACCAGGGGCACTGGAGAGGAGGGAGAAATAGCTCATTAGAAAGTCTGGTTCAGGGGCTGGAGAGATGGCTCAGAGGTTAAGAGCACTGGCTGCTCTTCCAGAGGTCTTGAGTTCAATTCCCAACAACCACATGGTGGCTCAGAACCATCTATAGTGGTATCTGATGCCCTCTTCTGGTGTAAAGGTGCACATGCAGCTAGAGCACTCATATATACATAAAATAATAAATAAATCTTTAAAAAAAAAACCTCAGAAAGAGGCTGAAGATAAGGATGAAGCTCAGATGCAGAGGCCTGCAGCTCCCAGAGTGTGTTCTAGTTAGGAGAAAAGCAAACAGTTTACAGGGGGCCATTCAAACCCCTAACAAAAGAGCTAGAAGGTTTCTGGCAAGTCAGGTGATAAACACAGAGACTATGCCCTGATTCACATTACTTGTTGTCTTAGTTAGGGTTTCTATTGCTGTGAAGAGACACCAGGACCACGGAAACTCTTATAAAGGAAAGCATTTAATTGGAGCTGGCTTACAGTTTCAGAGGTTCAGTCCATTATCATCATGACAGGGAGCATGGAGGCATGCAGGCAGATGTGGTGTTAGAGCTGACAGTCCTACATCTTGACTCAGAGGCAACAGGAAGTTAACTAAAAGTCACACTGAGGGAAGCCTGAGCAAAAGAGACCTCAAAGCCCGCCCCCACAGTGACACACTTCCTCCAACAAGGCCACATGTCCTAAGAGTGCCACTCCCTTTGGGGGCCGTTTTCTTTCAAACAACCACACTTATGTAATGCATACAAATGTATTTTATGTGTCTTTATTGTTTTAAACTATGTGTATATAGGTGCCCTCAGAGGCCAGAGGCACAGGATCTCCTGGGGGTGGAGTTACAGGTGGTTATAAGCTGCCCAGTGAGAGTGATGGGACTCAAACTTGAGCCCTCTGCAGAAGCCATTTAAGTCTTAACCGCTGAGATGTCTCTGTAGCCCCTGGACTTTAATGTTTTAGCTGGGGATTGAACCTAGGACTTCACACATGGCAGGCAAGCACTCTTCCACTGAGCAAGAGCCCGTCCCTCTGTGGTTTTTTTTACTGTTATGGTAGTCTCATCTTGAGACAAAGTCTCTCAGTGGGACCTGGGTCTAATTGGTTGACTTGCCAGAGCCCCAAGTATCCCCCTGTCGCCACCTCCCCAGCACTGAGAAGACAAGTGTGAACCATCACCATGGCTATTTTACACGAGTTCTAGGGTCAAACTCAGGTCCTCACACCTGTGCAGCAAGCACTCTGCTGACTGAGCCACCTCCCCAGCCCCTGACCACTTCCTTTTAGTGGACAAAGCAGTATGACATGGTTAAAAAATATGGAAAAAAGAAATCCTAATTCCACTATATCATCATGTCATACTGTGGAGGTAACCAACCGTCTTATTAAAATAAGAAACACAGAACCAGTGCAAAGAAGAAAGCCAAGAGGTCAGAGCTAAGAGCCTTACCCGTCTGCTGCAGTTAGCCACTTCAGCCAAGAGAGACCTACTTCCTGTGTATCTGTCTTTATATAGACTTTCTGTTCTGCCTTCTCATTGGTTGTAAACCCAACCACATGACCTCCTCGTCACTGCCTGTTTGTACAGACCTCCAGATCTTCTATGGTTAGTATTGAGATTAAAGGCGTGTGTCTCCAATGCTGGCTGTATCCTTGACCATACAGAGATCTACCTAGCTCTGCCTACCAAGTGCTGGGATTAAAGGCGTGCACCATGAACGCCCAGCTCTGCTATGGCTTGCTATTAGCTCTGACCCCCAGGCAACTTTATTTATTAACATACAAATAAAATCACATTTCAGTACAAATAAAATATCACCATATTATACAATCTTGACTTGATGGAAGGTGCTGTTTCTTTGTTTGGGGGTTATTAACTTAGAACACAAATCAGAAGCTGGGTTTGTGGCACAGCTGCAATTCTAACTATTTGGGAGGCTGAACCAGGAGGATCATGAGTTCAAGGCCAGCCTGGGCAATTCAGTGAGACCCTGTTTCAGAATAAAAAACATAGCCGAGGTTACAGCTCAGTGGTAGAATACTTGCTTAGCATGTCTGAGGCCCAAGGTCTCATCCCCAGCTTTCCCACCCTACATCACAAAGAATATAAACTATGGGGGTGATCACTGAGTCAACAGTTATAATTTGTATGGCTCTCATTTACATGACTTTTACCTTTAATGTCACACTTCTTGGTTTTTCTGGTGAAAGTTCTTGAACTGGGTGAACTCCCAGACATGGCAGGATGAATCCAGTATACCTAAAAATGTAGACCAAGTTAAGAAAGCCACAGTAGGCCAGGAGATCACAGTGCCTCCCTAAAGAACAGAAAGGGAACACTCTGCTTTGGGGGCTATGTTAACATGCCTTTTCCTCCTTGATCTTTTTATTTTCTTTGAGACGGTCTCACTAAGTAGTCTTGGCTGGCCTGGAACTCACTGTGTAGACCAGACAGGCCTCAAACTCACAGAGATTCTCCTGTCTCTGTCTCTGAGTGCCAGGTTAAAAGCATGTGCTATCATGGCTGGCTCTCCTCATTATTTTAAAAACAATTATTTGATTTTTATTTAAACCGGACATAACAATCTTTCTTAGCAACTCTTTACAATCTTCACTAGAGCTAGTGTAGAGTCTATGCTTTGGTCTCAGCACCAAGAAGACTAAGGTGGGAAAACTGCTTGAGTTCATGAGTTCAAGACTGGCTTCAGCAGCCTAAATTACAAATCTTAATTGAAGTAGCACCAGAGGTGGAGAGGTGGCTCAGCAGCTCTCGGACTGGAGTTCAGCTCCCTAGACAGGCAGGCATGGTGGCCTGGAGCTCAGTTCCCCAGACGGGCAGACATGGTGGTCAGGAGTTCAGCTCCCCAGACGGGCAGGCATGGTGACTTCCTATAACTCAGCACTTGGGAGGCAGGAGATCCAGGAGTAAGCCAGGATAGCTAGACTAGCCAGAATCCATGAGCTCTGTGTTTAGTGAGGAAGCTTAAAGCCTCAATAAATAGAGGACAGCGATCAAAGAAGACACCTAATGTCAACGTTGGGTGTTCACATGCCCATACACACACACATCTACACACAGATGTGAACACCACACACACAAAAGAAGATGAGAAACAACAATCACCTTTCTGAAAGTTGCATAATCCTTTCAAATTCTCCTGCATGTTCAGCAACTGCTACAAGGGCCATAACATTAGCCTAAAAAAAAAAAAAAGAATAGAATAGAATAGAATTACAAACAATATGCACATTTGCTGTGAGATGTTCTCTATGGCAAATATGTTGCTCTGATTGGTCAATAAATAAAACACTGATTGGCTGGTGGCTAGGCAGAAAGTATAGACAAAACTAACAGGAAAAAAAAAAAAAGACAAAAAGAGTCACTGCCAGCTGCCACAAGGACAAGGAACATGTAAAGATGCCGGCAAGCCAAGAGCCACATGGCAAGGTATAGATTTATAAGAATGGATTAATTTAAGCTATAAAAACAGTTAACAAGAAGCCTGCCACGGCCATACAGTTTGTAAACAATATAAGTTGTGGGGCATTTACCCACCACCCCCACAGTTCCCCAGAGTTTTCTTGAGTGTGAGCAGCAGGAAACATTAGATAGGATTTATTGCGGAGAACATTGCAGAGATAAACAGATAGAAAATAAAGGATAGCCTCGAGAGGGCCTGGAACCTTTTCCAACGGCCCCGACTGTCTCTGCCCCAGGGTTTTTATAGAGATGCCAAGGGGTGGAGCAAAAGACCTCCTCCCCCAGCACAGCCAAGTGCAGATCATCCCAGACACCTGCACTCAGGCCCGTGGTCCTAAGCATCCTCTATGCGGACCTGCTGGGTAAAGCCACGAGGAACCCGAGAACGGGCTCCCACAGGTCCCCCTTTCTTAATATATAAAAAATAACTATTAATGGCTTACAGCAATCTCCATAGCTGTTACACCTCCCAGTATGGGAGTAGAGGATGATATAGATGGCATTTCTCTTTTGAATTAGGTCCAAGGTGACTACAGCAATCTTAGCTGCCTCAAGCCCTTTCTAAGCCAAAACCTCTTAAGGCGACTACAAACTTAAAGAATCCCTTAGCTTCATCATTACCATTAACAGGTTAACATAAATATTGCTATACATAGTCACAATTCTCTCAATCTTACAACTCAAAGCAAACTCTTAACAGAACCATTTGAATTAGCATATATGGTGCTAAATATAGTTAACAATTTTCTCCGTCTTACAACTTTAACTCAATCATTTGAATTTTCTTGCTAACAGAACATAGGAAAAACTTTGATGTATTCACATCAAACTTAAATATTCCTTAACTCCACAAAACCAGGGTGCATTAATATCAATAGGTTAAACAATTTCTCAAACATAATTCAACCTCATAACTCCTCCTTTTCTTTATAATTTTTTAAACAAAATCTCAAACCTAGTTAGAAGAACCCAAACTTATATAATTCCTACAAACCCATATTGAAAAGCAATATTTTCAATCTAACCATGAACACTTTGAAAACTTTTAGCAAAACATTCAAAAGCAGTTTCTTAATAAAACTCTTTACACACTTTAAAAGTAGTCTCTTAGTATACCCCATTTGCATTTCTTACTAACAACATGACATTAATCCACCAAACAACTTCTGAAATTAGACTAAGGAATATTAACTCTCCCCCTTTTCTTTATAATTTAAGCAAAATCTCAAGCCTAGTTAGAAAACCCAAACTTTTCCATTTAAACAGTTCCGTTTGTAACACAAAAACAGTTCTGTAAGTAATTTCATTTTAACATAAACAGTTCCACAAAACAATTCATGAATCACCAATTAATAAAGCATATATGCATACACAAAACTGCATCTTGATTCTAGGTAGAAATAATAAATTTCTTCATTTAAACAGTCCCATTTTTAGCCCAATTCCAGAAAACAGTTCCTAGGTCATTACTATAAGTAAACTCAAAATTGTCCCATTGCAATGAAATCTCTACTATTCATTTCATTTCTTAAGTACCAAAATTCAAATGATAAATTCTGGTACTAGCCTTCCAAATATGAAGAAATCCATAACCAAAATCTTTTTGTAGTTTTATCTCATTTTAAGTTCAAAAAGTTCAAACAAATAAATTCTGGTATTAGGCTTTCACTTCAAAATATGAAGAGACGTTTTTCAACCAAAACTTTTTGCAGTTAACAATTTTTGTTCAAACAAGTGTCTCTGAACTTATTCTCAAGCCAGAGACCTTTTTAGGTACAGTAGTATTCTAAACCGCACCGTTTTTGATGTTAGCTCAGGTTTTTCTGTGTTGCATCGATTTTCCACGGATCTCAGCTGCGGATGCCTTGTGCTGGCTCTGGCGTCCACCATTCTTTGCTTCTTAACAGCTTCTGGAACTTTTGAAAACCACTCAGACTGCTTGCTTTGCAGTCTGCTAGGACACTAACTTCTGTATCTCAGGTTTTTTCACCATATACATTAAGCATAGATTCACACTTAACATATACACTTTTTTTTACAAAGTCACATATAACCTTTTGCCTTGCAAAGCATTTAGACTCACATTCAACATTTACACGTTTTTTACAAACTCATATAACGTATTAATATCTACTTATTTATACTCCTTAAGGAAACTATAGAACTACTTTAGCAAATATATTTCTTATTACTTCTTATGTATTATGTTCATTCCATCTTATTTCTTATTTAAACTTACATTTACAACTAGTATCTATCTTGCAAGCTTATATTCTTAAAGGAACTCTATAGATCTATTTTACAGACTTATACAGGGCTACCATTAGCATATATTTAACTTAGCAAACACCTAAAGATTTCTTAACACAGATCTAACAAGAGAATTTTTACAAACTCACATCTTATTTTCATCTTTTTCTATTTCTTACTTTTTTTTTTTTTTTTTTTTTTTTTTGGTTTTTCGAGACAGGGTTTCTCTGTGTAGCTTTGCGCCTTTCCTGGAACTCGCTTTGGAGACCAGGCTGGCCTCGAACTCACAGAGATCCGCCTGGCTCTGCCTCCCAAGTGCTGGGATTAAAGGCGTGCGCCACCACTGCCCGGCCTATTTCTTACTCTTAATTATTATCACTATCTCTATTAGAAAGATTCTCTTAACTAGATAGGAAGTACGTACATCATTTCTAAAGTTTAGAGTTTATAGTCAGCTTTGTTATAAAGCACTGGGATTTAGTGAGTGTTGTTGTTATAGAATTGTGATAGTTGTTGCTAGGGGACTGTAACCTTCCTAGAATGACGCCACACTCCAAAGTTGCCAGTTCTCTCAGCCGTTCCGGAACCGGCAGAGATACACTGTCAGCGGTAGACAGTTTTTAACTAGAGGCTGTCCCTTCACCCAAACTCATAATAGTTCCCCTAAGTGCTTCAATTCAGACAAACGTTTCTATTACAGCAGTACTTTTGGTTCTACTGAAAAACTTCACTTCATGCTGAGGGTGAAATTACCGTATTTAGCTGCTGTAAAGCTCTTCGCCAAATACTGCACAGCTATTAGGTGATATAAAGTACTTTTCTAAAGGAGCTAGTAAAGCCACAAGTGGCACAGATCCGAACTGTATTTAGTATTTTCACTTCATTAGCTTTAACTCCTGATGTTATTAGCAGCTGTAATATTTAGCATTGATTTCTTATAAGGAACTTTCAGGTGAAGCAACTCTTTTGTAAGACAGCTAGATTTTCTGAAGTTTGTTTCCCATCTATAAAAAGCAGTCATTTCTTTTTGAATGCCTGTTTCTTATTCCCTTAATTAGATTTGCAAAGGAATTACTCATTGCAGGCAGTTTGTTCAAAACGCAAAGAACTTTTTAAATTTCAACATAAGTTTCTTCATATCTAAGACAACGTTCAGTGTATAAACTGCTCTCTTGCTTTCTTAAGGATTTTAAAGTGGCTTGTTTGCTCTTGTAGGTAGCTTTTTGTCATCCAACTACCATAAAAACTTTGCACAGCTATTAGGGTAAATAAGGCATTTTACCAATAGAGCCCCAAACCGCGAAGCACCTAGTTCCGTATCCTTTCAATTTTTCATTGGAACTGACACTTAAACTCTTAGATGATTTTCCTCCTTGTTCTTTTAAAAGCTGTATTTTAAGTTTACCATGAACGTATTTTTGAGCTGACAAAAGTGTTTCAGGGCAATGTCACCATCTTTAGCGGAAAAACTACCTTTCCCAGAATGTATTTCCCTTATATCAGTCCATAATAATATCAGTCGTTTCCCATAGTTCTTTTTGGGTCTGAGAGTCAACTTCTAAGTTCTTTTTTACCAGACTTGCTTACAAATTCTTGCCCGGGAGGTTTGAACAAAGTTTTTTGCTTTTGCAATGGAGATTTGAACAAGCATTTTACATTTTCAATTATGGGACATTGGGAGGTTTCTGGTCTCTCAGCTGGCTTCAACAGGTGTCTCTCTTTCATTTGACACTGGCCCCCAAATCAGAACTGCACCTGCCTCGTTAGCCGGCATTGAGGCTGGCATTTCTGATAGCAACTTTCCTAGGGGCTTGTGTTTGTCTTAGTCAGTGAAAAACATTCACAACAGTTTTTCCATAGCTCCTTCGGAGAAATTTTCTCCCACTGATCTGTCTCATTTTGCTTGTTCCTTCCTTCCCCAGATGCAGAGCTTCAGGTATCTGTCTGCAGCTCTGTTCCTCTGCTAGCTGCTTTTGGAGGTAGGGGCTTTTTTTTCTCCCCCCGAAACTGCCTCAAATTCTAGCAGCTTTTCCAGGTCATGCATTTTCTGGGGAGGAATATGCCCCTTCTCTTTCTTCACAGTCTTTCTCCCTGACAGTATTCAGTTTGGTCTCAGTTTATCCCCTCTACCCCAGAAACAGTTTCCTACACTACAGTGGCGGCTTTCCCTGCTACTGAAGGTAGGGTTTTTTTGTCCGTTTCTGTTTTCAGGATCTGTGTGGTTTGCGTACAGACTGAAAATCTAACAAGGGAGGTTTTTGCCATTTCTAAACTCCCATTAGGACAGGTGTTTTCCCTCATCAGGCCTTCACCTGGCCCAGTCCCCCAGTGGGTTGGGTTTGCTTGTCTGGGTGCTCAAGGACAGAGCATATGCCAGAGGCAGTCACCCCTTAGGGCCACACTCCCTCATCTCACCGGGAGTTAGTTGAAACAAAGCTTTTCTCATAAAGGTGTTTTCTCTGACGGAAAAGAAAGCTTTACTCCTGGATAGTTCTGTTCTGCCCTGGCTGGGCTCTTTCCCCAGACTCAGCAGCACAACTGCTTCAGACACAGTTCAGCTTTACTGTCTTCCCAGAAAGGTCCTGACTCTGATAGGAAAGCTTTTTCTCAGATTTCTTTTTGCAGCTGTGGACCTATTAACCTGGGACTTGTAGGAAAGTGGACAACTATGCCGTTCCCACCGACTTTAGCTTTGTTTGTTCATTAGCAATCTTCCCCTGGGTCCTGCACCTTCCTGCCTCAGCTCTATGCTTCAGGAAGTTTACAACTGCAAGAACCCTAGTATCCCCGAAATGCATCCCAACTCAGAGATGCTGGCCAGTCGCCTCTGGGTTTTTGGTCAGAAGTGAGGATACAGTGCTAACAGTTTGCATTGCTTCAGGGGATCTTGATTTAGGACGATTAGGAACACCTTTTCATTCTGAAACGCTCACTCAGAAACAAAACCCTTGGATGCCTCAGCTGGGCATAACTGAAAAGCCTGGCTTTTTTACTTTTCTCAGGTAAAGTTTCCCGCCCTTTTGGGCTCTCTGTAGCTCTTTACCCACACTCTCCCAAGCGTTTCCCTCAGGGTACTCTGACCCACTGTCTTTTACTAGCTTGAAGAGACAGCTTAGAAGAGGTTTTTAGGAACTTGTCCCTGCCTCCTGCATTGCAGGGAGCATTTTTAAAGCTTGAAAGAACTTAGGTTTTGCTGTCTTAAGAGGTTTGTCGTTTTCCCTTAGAGCTAATCACAGGTGGTCCCCATACTAATATCTTCAGGTGATTCTAATTTTTGTCCTTCTGAGAAAGTTAAAGGCTTTAGTTTTTAAGTTTGAGAGCTTTTAGTTTGAGAAAGATTAAGGCTTTTTTAGAGAGATTTTCCCAAATTTTCCAAGAAAAGCTTTATAGTTTAAGAGAAAGATTTTTTTTTTCCCAAGAGAAAGACCAACTTTTCCCAAAACTTCCCAACTTTAAACTTTGGCTTTTTACACCCCCATTTTTGCCTCAGGGAGAAATCACTTTCTCCTGCTGCTTAGACTTAGCATTTCAGCTGTCCCCAGGTCAAAAGCTTCCATAGGAAACTTTTTCTTCCCCATAAGCTCAAAGAGCTTTTTTTTACTACCCATAAAGCCCAAAGATAGATTTTTTCCCCCCAGTTTGCATTCAGAGCCCCCAAAGTTAGAAAATTGAAGAGTTTTTCTGTCTAGTTGCCTTACTTATTTTTCCCTACACAATCTTACACTTCTAAGTTTTTCCTACACTATATTACTACCCTATGCCTTATACTTATTTTTCACAGATAGAAATTGAGAAAGGGATAGAAGATAGAAAACTTTGACAGAAGAGAATTTCGCTGCAGCATCGGACATCCTTCCAGTCCGCTTTCTTTTTCTCTCGAGGATAAAACCCCTGCCTCTCAATATACATAAAAAATATATATTTTCCATAACACCAGCATGCCTTATCCACTGGCAGGGCTGAACTCAGCACTTTCGCTAAAAACTCTAATAAAACTATTTTCCTTTATCTTTAGTCCCTGTTCATTTGTCTTTAGTCCCCCCTTTTTTTAGTTACCCCTTTTTTTCTTTAGTCCCTTTTTTTTTTTCTTTTTTCTTTAGTCCCTGTTCATGGCGCCATTCTGTGGGGCGTTTACCCAACCACCCCCACAGTTCCCCAGAGTTTTCTTGAGTGTGAGCAGCGGGAAATATTAGATAGGACTTATTGCGGAGATAAACAGATAGAAAATAAAGGATAGCCTCGAGAGGGCCTGGAACCTATTCCAACAGGCCCCGACTGTCTCTGCCCCAGGGTTTTTATAGAGACGCCAAGGGGTGGAGCAAAAGACCTTCTCCCCCAGCAGAGCCAAGTGCAGACCATCTCAGACACCTGCACTCAGGCCTGTGGTCCTAATCATCCTCTATGCGGACCTGCTGGGTAAAGCCATGAGGAACCCGAGAATGGGCTCCCACAATAAATCTCTGTGTTTACTTGGTTGGGTCTGAACAGCTGTGGGACTGGCGGACAGAGATTTGTCCTGACTGTGGACAAGACAAAAAAACTCTAACTACACACATTTAATATAAATTAAGAGAAATGTTAAAGTTTTTTATACATTTCACTATACTTCTTTACCAGGCCCCAGTAATATAATCAAAGTGACTACCACTGAGTACTTATTATTTCAGGCCCCAGTTCAATGACTATAAATGTCACTTCATTAACCTACACAGACCAAAGGTAGGCACTGCTTTAATTCACTGGACAGAGACAGCATTTTAGAGGGAATAAAGGTCGTTAGGCTCATGTGACTCTACAGCCCACGTGTCAATCAAGCTGCCATACGACAGTGTGCAACTAATTTCATAAATACTTCCAAGATTTTATAATTTTTTATTTTTCAATTTTATTTTTACCTATTCTCTCTCTTAGCGAACATGGGTGCACAAGCATGTGCAGGCACATGTATGCCACGGTTAGCATGTGGAAATCGGAAGACACCTTTCTGGAGTCAGTTCTGCCCTTCCACCATGGTACCAGCGGTTGAGCTCAGAACTTTATCCACTCCGCCATCTCTCCAGTCCTTGCTAACTTTTTTTCTAACAAACCAAAATGTTTCAGAAGACTTTTGTAATGTATCCTAGATCTCCAAAATAACGTGAGTTTAGGAAGTGAGAGGCTGACCAACCCATCCATTATTCTACAGTGCTGCCGTTCATGGTGGCAGGTCAGTCACTTTCCTAGCATGCATCTCTGCCTTGTTCCTGACCTTTAGACAGGAGAATCCTCAACTGTCAAATGGAGAATGTCTGAATATGAAAGAGGAACTTCCTTAGGAGGTGTGGAGACTTTAGAAGAGCTGACATTAGCAAGGGTTAGCTCCGTGGCTGGCATAGCCCATGGAAACACGGACCATGTCTAAACAGTTCCTAAAAATAGTATGGCAAGAGAAAACAGGAGGGGAGCAAAAGGGGGGCAGTAATGGACACTAACTTACCTTCTTGGCTCTCTCCAACACAGCATCCAGATCCTACAACAAACATAAGCAGCCACACTTACTTTACATAGGGAATTAACTGCTCTTTGGCCATATAAATGTAGCTGAGACATCATAAAGGACAATAGTGTTTCTCCCACAGGGTGGCAGAAAATGAAGGGCCTCCCCTGACCCACCTCCTGTTACTCTTATGCTCAGTGAAGCGCATTGTACAACACAAACCTCTGCTGAGAAATACAAAGGACAGTTCTGTCCTACCTTACTCTCCCCCTCAGCAGCTTCTAGACACCCTCACCCCCCCCCCACACACACACACTGCTTTTAAAGTATCACTCTCACTGGTGGTTACTCTCCAATCTCCTGGACCGACTGTCATCTTTATGACAAGCTCTTCTGTTCTCTCTGCACTTGTAAGAGATCTCATCTGTCTTGTTTATCTAGCGCCCTCAGGTACACCACGCCTGTTCTCTACCACTGAGCTATAACCTCAGCCTCTCGTGGGGTTAGATAGCATGTATAATCTCCAACTTACCTCAGTTTTTACTCTCTCCTGAACCCATGACTCACATTCTAAATCACTACATAATCATTCTATTTGGATGTGATCAGACATACCAATACGTCCCCACTAGGGATTCTATCTGCCTGCCTCTCCACTCCCATCCCAAACCTTGGTCTTTCCTCGTCTCAGCAAAGGGCATCACCACCTTAAAACACAAACTAGAAATCTAAGCCATGTCGATTCCTTCTTTCTCCTTGCTCTTCACATCCAAGTCCTCTGCATGTACTGTTGGAGTTATTTCTAAAAATACGTTGAGTACATTTACTCTGACTCTCATATCATCACAGCACAGCCTCTACCTACCATCTTCTGTCTGTATACTGAGACTTCTTAAATGTTCTAGCTTTCTCTTCTTCACCTTTTTGCCACACAGCAGATCTGTCTTCAGAATATTCTGTTTTTCTTTCTTAAAATGGGTTATCTTAAAACCCTAATGGGTTAAAAGTGTGCATCTAAAGCAATCCAAATGTCTTACTGACTTACCTCTCCCATACCCTGAAAATCTCCCTAGTCTTTGAAATTTTTATTTTATTATCGCTTCCAGCTGTTGGTTAACTAAAATAGGCCAAATTCCATACTGTATAGGTGTCTACAACCTGCCGGTGTTCCTTACTACCGCACACTCACAACATAAGCGTCACCTCCTAAGAAATAGACAATCCACCCTCAGTCTTTCCAATGTAGCAGGTAAAACCTATTCCCACCCCTACACACGCCCCATCCCGTGTTCCTCTCGTTTGCCCCTCTCCCAGTCCAGAACTGGGACCTCTGCTAAGGGCTAGGATGGAGCGCATCTCAGGAGTGGTAAGAGAAGGGACTGTTGAAGCGACAAACACAAGCTTCGTGGAGATAGTTTACCGCTATTTAAGATCAGAAAGAACACCAGTACGACGGAGGTTCAAAGGGAAACTGGTCAGGTCGCCATAGACTAGGTAGGGCCAGAGGGTTTGGGGAGAAAAGATAACTTTCGGGAAGGGACGCGGCCCTCCCGACTCCCGCAGGCCCCAACTCGCCCTCACGTACGCTGTTAAAGTCCGGGGCGGAGAGATGGCAGTGACAGTCCACTAGCCCCAAGCCCACGGTACCCATAGCCATTTCTGCAGACTTCTCAACCGGAAGCCGGAGTGGAAGCCAGGGGCCACGGAAGTCCGGGCGGAACCATGAGCACCGGAGGATCGAGTTTCCGGCCGGACGCGTACAGAGGAGCTCCACCGAGGGAAGCATCCTTCCGGTCTCGACGTCACCGCTTCAGTTCAAACCGGAGAGATGGCGGGTGTTCCTGAAACGGTGCAGGTCTCCGCCTCGCAGGGTCAGGATGCCCGGACCTCCTCAGACTCCCAGGCCTCGGCACCCGCCTCTCCGCTAGAGGACTTCCGAGTGCGCTGCACCTTGAAAAGGGCTGTGGTGGAAGTGATGGAGCTGTGCGGTCGCTTCGTGCAAGAGCTCGGGGCCGCGCTGCCGGAGGACGTCCGAGAGCTGGCGCTGCGGGACGCGCAGTGGGTACGGACCGGCCCGCCTCCTTCCCGCCCCTCACCCTACTCTGCCCGGCTCCGCTGACCAAAGGGTGCCCGAGGCTAGCCTGGGAAATGCCGGGGAAGGCTACTAAGATGCTAGTGCCACCTGGGTGCTTCCTGTCCGCTGGACATACAGGGCAAGCGAGCACATACGCAATCTTGAAAAACAGGCGGCATTAGTGTACTCATATATTTTAATACATATAGTTCTCTCTCTCTCTCTCTCTCTCTCTCTCTCTCTCTCTCTCTCTCTCTCTCTCTCTCTCTCTCTCTCTCTCTCTCTCTCTCTCTCTCAAGGCTTTCAAATCTGATGGCTTATGTCTACAAAACATCTCGTTTGTTACTTGCCGTAGCTTAAGTGCTCAGTTAAGTACAAAGTGGCTCTCCTATGGACCAGCGCATGTTTACAGTCTGGTACGAGGAATTCTCCAGGAACCGGCAATCCTCGAAGTCAGTCACCTGGCTACTTTTTTTGATCTTTGCTTTTGCTTGTTATTTTATAACATTGTGTGAATGGAGCAAAAGCATTTTACTGATGAAAAAGCTGTCTTGTTGTTAAATTTTACTAAGATCACTAGTTGAGCTGGACATGACAGTGTACGCCCAGCACTTGGAAGGCAGAGGCAGGTAAATCTCATTGAATTCCAGACCAGTCTGGTTCACACAGTGAGTTCCAGACCAGCCAGGGCTACATAAAGAGACCCTATTCCCCCTACCCCATTGGCCCTTATAACCCACTTCCCTTTTCACCTATATTTTGCAAAAACTCTGCAGTTGATGGTTTCTGAGGAAAGACACTAGAAGTTGAGGGATTGCTGCCTCTCTCTTGAACAGTCTATATGTAGGGGAACGTCCCAAGCTTGTACTGCAGCACTTCTGTGACCAAATGACAACAGTACAGAGTAAACATAGAAATCATCAGTCTCAAAAAACAGAAATGAGGAGAGGCTGGAGAGGTACTTAGTGGTGAGTGTTCTTGTAGCATGCACGAGACAGAGGTTATGTGAAGGAATAATGAACAAACCTTCCTGGGATTGTAATTCTGTATTCCAGTTTTTGTACCATGGCTTATTCCCTCCTTGGAATCAAGGCGAGAAACGTCTCATAACATTTTTAGTAGTTATTTTGGGAGACAGCTGTAAATAAGAGGGCTTGTCTGATTCTAGAAAATTGTTAAGATGCTTTGAACATCGACACACAGAAAAAGACCAATGTGGCTTAACCTCTTATATCCTATTGAATGAGATCTTAAAGACAATGAGAAGTAATGGTCTGTAGAGAAGTTTTGACGATGTTGATAAATCTCTGGGTAAAACTGAATAATGTAGTGGCATGTTCTTAAATGATGGGTGAAGCTGCAGTGAGGATGTCAAAGACAGTTTGCATTCACATTTAATCTTCGAGAGTTTAGCGTCATAAGAATCTTACTCTTTTTTTTTTTTTTTTTGGTTTTTCGAGACAGGGTTTCTCTGTGTAGCTTTGCGCCTTTCCTGGAACTCGCTTTGGAGACCAGGCTGGCCTCGAACTCACAGAGATCCGCCTGGCTCTGCCTCCCGAGTGCTGGGATTAAAGGCGTGCGCCACCACCGCCCGGCAGAATCTTACTCTTTAAAATCTTTTTTTTTCTCCTTTAGTGCCTGGGATTGAATGCAGAGCTTTGCTCATGCTAGCAAAGCGTTGTCCACTGAGCTATATTGTAGCCCTTTTATAAGATACTAGTATAGAAAATGTACTATGACTCATAGTTACCAGTCATTTATTTATACTTATTTTTAATTATGCAAGTGATACAAAAGACATGCTCATTAAAAATATTTTCAAACAATAGCATTTATTAAGCCATCTTTGAATTCCCTGTCTGTCTGAATCCCTCTGGAAATAACTTAGGATTTTGGAGAGCAGGTGGTGGAGCCTAACCCTTGTGCCCTTCTTTACAGTTTCCCACTCTGTGTTCTTGTTTGTCATTTATGTGGTCATGCTGATGAGATGTCACTGGTAGAGCCAGTGCAGTCACCACTGTGTGGTAAGGGTATTTAGCCTTCTCCTAATAGTTAACTTGGATTCTATTTTTTTCCTCAATTTTTCATTATTTCCATTCTGCTCTACAGAGATTCCATTATTGTTTTTGCTAAAATGTTTGAATTCAGTATTTAGAATCGCTTTTGCTGACTTGGCTGCTGTAAATGTATTGCAGACTTTTGAGTCGGCTGTGCAGGAGAATGTCAGCATCAATGGACAAGCCTGGCAGGAAGCTGCAGATCACTGTCTTATGGGTATGTGGCTTAACTCTTCCTTCTGTCATTAATTTCTGAGATTGTTTTTGCAGCTAACTTTATTTTGAATGCTATTTTGCAATTTCTGTTTTCATTGTCTCTCTGTGGTGGTTTGAATAAGAATGGCCTCCATAGGCATATATATTGGAATTCATAGTCATCAGGGAATGGAACTGTTTGAGAAGGAGTAGGAGGTGTGGCCTTGTTGGAGGAAGTATGTCACTGGGGGTGGGCTTTGAGGTTTCAAAAGCCCATGCCAAGCCCAGTCTGTCTGTCTGTCTGTCTGTCTGTCTTTCTGTCTCTCTCTCTCTGCTTGTAACTCTCAGCTTCTTCAGTGCCTGCTTGCAGGCCACCATGCTCCTTGCCATGATGATAATGGACTAAGCCTTTGAAACTGTAAACAAGCCCCCAATTAAATGCTTTCTTTTATGAGTTGCCTTAGTCATGGTTTCTCTTCACAATAGAACAGTAACTAAGACATACTCTCTCTTTTATAAACATTTTATTTATTGGATGGAGTTGTGCATGTCATGGCACACTGTGGAGGTCAGAGGACAGCTTTCAGGAGTTGTTTTTCTCTTTTTACCATGTGGGCTCCAGGGATCAAACTCAGGTCCTCACTCAGGCTTGATGACAAGCATTTTTACCTGCTAAACCATCTTACTGCATTCAGTATCATTTATTTTAAAGCACATTTAAATTATTATGGGATAAAAAGAAGAAACTAATGTAGATCATTGAAGTCATAGCCCAAGAGAAACTCAGTGGGTACCTTGATCTATCCTGTCTGATATCTGGTATCCGAACATGTATGTCATCTGTTCTTTAGAAGCTTCTGTCAGTAGACTGTTGGAAGATATTATAGAATTATCCCCAATTAAAGAAATAGGCCCAGAATATCCCTGTGTTTCCTCATAAGCCAGGTTTATGTTTTTGCAATGCTTAGATGATACTTAGAATGGATAGTGAAGTGTTCCTAGGTGTAAAGTTAAACCACAGGAGTAGCATGCGAAGGGTGTTAACATTCGTAGATGGCTTCTTAAGACTTTAGCTTATTCCAAAGACTTGATTGTACCTTTGTTTGTTTGCTTGTTTGGTTTTTTTTTTTTTAAGATTTATTTATTATGTATACAGTATTCCCTGCAGGCCAGAAGAGGGCACCAGATCTCATTACAGATGGTTGTGAGCCACCATGTAGTTGCTGGGAATTGAACTCAGGTCCTCTGGAAGAGCAGTCCACACTCTTAACCACTGAGCCATCTCTCCAGCCCCGTTTGTTTGGTTTTTGATACAGGGCTTCTCTGTGTAGCCCTGACTGTCTTGGAACTCCGTAGAATAGGCTGGCCTCAAACTCAATTCACCTGCCTCTGCCTCCCGAGTACTGGAATTAAAGGTGTGCGCCACCACGCCTGGCTTAGACTGGACTGTACCTCACTGGTGCTGGCATGCCTGAAGAAGGCTAAGTGTTAATGGAAAGAGAAAGCAAGGTCAGAGTAGGGAGGAGCCGTCAACAGAAAGGGAGTGATCTCTGAGAAGAGGCAGGCGTCCCTGTGTCTGCAGTACTGTCCAGAGAAGGGCCCCCCGACAAGAAGCCGCGTGTGCCGTCTATCCCTCTGGTAACTTACTCAGGGCTGAGCACCGTTGCTGTCACTGCTTTGTGTTCACGTCGTCCAGTCATTTGAGCTGATCACAGGCCTACTAGCAACTCACTGTGATATAACTTTTCTTCTCAACGGTAAGGGAGTGCTTTGCCCAGAACATTTTCTTGTCTATTACTCAGGACTGTGTTAGTTGTCCTTTTAAAATGATCAAAACAGGGTTTGGGTTTACGTATTAAAAGGATAAAACCGCCGGGCGGTGGTGGCGCACGCCTTTAATCCCAGCACTCGGGAGGCAGAGGCAGGCGGATCTCTGTGAGTTCGAGGCCAGCCTGGTCTCCAAAGTGAGTTCCAGGAAAGATGCAAAGCTGCACAGAGAAACCTTGTCTCGAAAAATAAAAAATAAATAAATAAAATAAATAAAAGGATAAAACCAACAGCATCTGTTTTGTAAAATATTAACACAATAATTGCTAATTAGTAGGGAATATATAAACAATTAGCCAGAAGTCCTTTCTACACCACATAGCTTTTCAGTGGGTCTTTATTTGAAACAAAACGTTATACAAAAAGGCACAAGGGAGTAATATGTTTGGAAAGCCAGCCTTAAGCTGGGAAAAGTAATAGCAAATGTGCCTAGAAAGGTAAGTTGAGGAGAGATTACCACATGCCTCAAAAGTGTTACAAGGGATTTGTACTTTATTGTGTGGTCTTGGAGGAATCATGGGAGTGGTGTGTGTGTGTGTGTGTGTGTGTTAGTGTTAGTGTTAGTGCTGGTGAACGAGCCTACAGACTCACATATGTCAGGCCAAGTACTTTATCTCTGCTATAAACCCCAGTCTTAGGTGAGAAATTTAAGGGAGAGTTACGTGACTAGATTTAACAGGCTTTGCTTCTGGGCAGATACACAGAAGCAAAACGGAGGCTTCACGGGGACAGAGGTTTAACCTGCTTTGTTTATGGACGTTCCCACGCTCCTGCACACAGTACCGCTCTGGAAAGAAAGCAGACGTGTGTGTGAGGCAGCGTCCCTCCTCCTGTTGTAGCTGCCCTGCATGGGTCTGATCACAGGAAGTTTGGTCAGACAAATTTGTAAGGTTGTTCATTGAAAGCAGAACTCTGTTTTCAGAAATCGACGCTCACCAAGTATTTGTCCATTTGTTTATACGTTGTGCTTTTACAAATTCTACCCCTTGGTGGCGCTAAGAAACCGTTTTCCTACATAGAAGATTTCACTGACAGACGATGGCTGAGCCCAGAAAGGGGCTTGCTATGCAAACCTGGGCAGAGGAGGAAGGAGAGAACTGATTCCAAGGAGTTGTTCTTTGATCTCTCCACGCATGCTGTGGCACGTGTGCCCTTCCCCATCACACACACATAATTTTTAAAAAGAACTTTTATAAAATGGTATGCTGTTCCTTGCAGGCCAGTGACTTCGCTTTTCAAATGAACATAATAAAATTTAAAGTTGCTTATTTCAGTAAGTGTTCCAAGTGAGACATATTCCTTAGACTTCCTCCAAAGGAGCCACTGAGTGGACTCAGTGTTTGTCACAGGAGTGAGAGGCCGTACCTACTGCTCTTCACAGTCTAGATGTGACATGCATATGCTGACGTACACCAGCCAGCTCTCAGAATGTTTCAGAAACATGTGCCAGTCAGACTTCTTCCTAGTAAAGCTTTAGTTAGTGAGATAGCATAGACTGCCTGGCAGAGCTCAGGGTGCAAGTCATTTAACCAAAGACTTGGGTCTTTAGCATTTGTAACCGCTTAGTATTTCTTACGTTTTTTCTTTCAGTACCGGGGATTGAGTGCAGATCCCTACCCATGCTAGGCGGATGTTCTGACCACTGAGCTGCCTTCCCCAACCCAGCATTTTTACTCTAAAGTTATTTTTTTAAACAAGGCCAAGTGCATCTGTCTGCACTCTCTTCAGAGTGCTTCGTTTCTGTGTCCTACCCTAGACCTTCTGAGTCCAGAGTTACACACTAGTAACATACTCCCCAGGTAATCATTCCTCCTTGTTGAGCTTGAGAATGATTGTCTTTCAACAGAGGAAAGAGCTGATGAAGCAGTCACCACGAAGTGAGAATGTCCCCCGGGTCGCCGTACCTTTCATATCCCCGCCCCCGCCATGAGTTAGGTATCACATCTGGGCATTCTTTTTACTGCCGTTGTCAAAGTTTGTCCATGATATGAAATGCCGTCAGAGTCTAACTATTGGGGGAGAGGGTACAGAACTGGACTCAGGGCCCTGGGAGATCTAAACACATGCTCTGCAGCTGGGCTACACCTCAGTCCTTGTCCCTGTAGTTTATCCTTTTAGAGTGCTTCTGTTTGCAAAGACTCCACATCCTCACAGTTTCCTTTCCCAAAGCTGTTTCCCTGGCCTTTTTTCATTCGGTGCCTTCGTTTATACGTAGATTTCAAGCTTAAATGTTTCTTTCCAGTCAGTAACTCCCACTGGTGGTGTTCCGTGGTTCTGTGTCCTTTGTCTTTATACCCTTGTTGCCTTTATCAGGTTACAGTTGCCTGTCTCGTGGGTCATGCCACATTCGTCTTTGTACTTCCTGGAGGTACTTGATAATTGATCAGTACAGAAATGAGGGGTTCCATTAGTTTGCCATTTGTTTTCTTTAATGATTTTGTGAATTGAGCATATATAATGTTTCTATACTAATATGGACTTTTTCTGGAATAGATTCTGACATCAAAGTGCTTGAAGATGAATTTGATGAGCTCATAGTAGATGTGGCAACAAAACGTAGACAGTACCCCCGAAGGATCCTCGAGAGTGTCATCAAAACCCTGAAAGCACAGCACGAGATTCTGGTGAGATGTTTACATTTAAATCCTCTCACAGTGTTTCACCACAATAACAAGTTAGATTACCTTTCATGTAGGGCAGGCTGGCCTTGAACTCCTGATTTTCCAACCTCCACCTCAAGTGCTGGGATTGCAGTATGTACTACCACAGCTGGCTGGCTCTGCTTTTCAGATGGGCAGAGCCGTAGGCCTGTTCTCCTGTAGGCACCAGTCACCATGCCAGTCACAGACCGTCTTCTCAGGTTTATTACGACTGGGACAAATGGAAGTGAGGCGAGCCCTGGCAGATTGGACCAAGTCTCCTTCTGGGTGTTGAGATTGGCCGGGGTGGCATTGCCCTCCTCCTGACTGTATGCGGGCTTTAGTTTTTAAATCAGCAGCTTTTCAGTGTGAACCTTCCGGCAGTCCCTCCTTCAGCAGTGTTTCTGGGCATTAAAGGTCTGCAGTTGCCCTAAGCACCCCAAGTCATGGTACGATAGAGAAAAAGAAATCCACGCGAACGCTTCCTCTTTCTCACAGCACTCATCCTTAAAGAAAGCCCTCTGTAAACTTCAGGAAAAATGCTTGACGTGTATTGACTGTGCCGTGCCTCCCTCCTCACCTCCCTGACTTCCCTAAAGAGAACCCTGAAACTCGTCAGGGAGGTCGAGGTGCAGAGAGAAAACTGGAGAGCTCAGTTGTCCCTTGGCCCTTCCTTTTCACACTTTGGCTCTGGGCATTGAGTGAGAGTAGGAAGGAACATTTCTCTTTGCCTTTTGCCTGACTGGGATGGCCAGCTGTCCCGTGTGCTGCTGCCGGTGTGGAAAGTAATGGGCTGGGCTGGTAATCTAGCCACTTTTTAAAAAGTTCCTGTGGAAATTGGAATTCAAACATTTGTCCTGAATGAACTCCATCACACTTTGGTCATTGTCCTGTATTTTAAAAATCACTATGCCTTCACTTTGTTTTTTACTATAATCTTCATAGGGCTATTTCCTACTGTATGCAGCAGAGGGCAGTACATAAAAGGTATTCAAACCTGGGCATGGTGGCGCACGCCTTTAATCCCAGCACTCGGTGGCAGAGGCAGGTGGATCTCTGAGTTTGAGGCCAGCCTGGTCTACAAAGTGAGTTCCAGGACAATTATGCAAAGAAACCCTGTTTCAAAAACCAACCAAACAAACAAAAAGGTATTCAAACCTAAGGACATTTTCCCTACAGAGTTCATGATCTAAAAAGAGAAGACCTTGAAGCTAGCACTATTGACTGTATACTTGCTTACACTAGCTGAAAGACATGCTTATTTATCTGAGGCATCACATGTCTAAACTAATGTTTCAATTTGTGCTGTGTTTAGAAGCAGTATCGCCCTGTTGTACCTCCCTTGGACCTGAAATGTGACCCTGACCCAGGTAAGCCAGTCCAGGAATGTGTGGACGATGAAGGGTCCTCAGTGATGGTCCTCAGCTGTGTGAGTCCTCCCCTCCACACTGATGGAGCACTTGTTTGTAGAGTTTATAATGTTCCTTGTGTTCTGCAAGTTCTTCCTCTCCAGTGTCACTGACCCAGATGTCGGACACTCCTGAGTGTGACTGTACAGCGCTGTCTGTGCTTCTCCAGGAGCTCCTCTGTCCCTCTCACTTCCGCCGTAGGTTTCTTTCCTTTAGTTTTTGTTTTCAGGATTTCAGATTTTATCTTGAATGTGGTCCTTCTGGTTTTGTTCATTTCTTTGTTATATTTAACTTCTTGAGTTAGTTCAGACATAGTTTTAATAAACACAGGGAAGGCCACAGATGATGAGTCCTGCCTTATATTCAGATTTTCAGATTTTTTAGTTTCCAATTCCAGGTCTCTCTCACCAAGCCCTGCATTTGCTGCCTTCTGTTGTTCACTCTCTGTTGTGTGGACACAGACACGGTGTTGCTCACTCTGTTGTGTGGACACGGCGTCGTTCACTCTGTTGTGTGGACACGGCGTCGTTCACTCTGTTGTGTGGACATGGTGTCGTTCACTCTCTGTTGTGTGGACACAGTGTTGTTCACTGTTGTGTGGACAGGGTGTCGTTCACTCCGTTGTGTGGACACAATGTCATTCACTCTCTGTTGGGTGGACACGGACGTGGTGTTGTTCACTCCGTTGTATGGACACAATGTCGTTCACTCTCTGTTGTGTGGACACGGCGTCGTTCACTCCGTTGTGTGGACACGGCGTCGTTCACTCTCTGTTGTGTGGACACGGTGTTGTTCACTGTTGTGTGGACGGGGTGCTCTTCACTCTCTTTCTTTCGTTCCCAGTTTGGAAGAGGCATACTGTGGTTCTAAAGATAATCAGAGTCAGGGCAGCTAATTTGAGAGGGAGGAACTTACTGCAGAGATGATTCGGTAAACCAAAATGGCCTGGATGCTCAAGAGCTAAAGTCAGTCGGGCGTACATTATGGGGCTGCTGTGGCTGTATGTTCTTTACGTGTTTAGAATTTTCTCGTGAAAGCTCCCTGGACTTCCCTTGTGCGTCTCTCCATCCTGCCACCAGCTTGTGCTGCTTTCACCTAGTCAGTGCAGTCCAAGGCGAGGGCCGTGGTTAAGAGGCTCTGCATACTTGTGATAGTGAGATAGTCGGTGGGTAGGCACACGGTGCAGGCCCCTGGAGATGTTGCCTGTCCCCCAGCACTTAGGGTGTAGCTTGAAGTACACTTGGTGGGGTGGCAAGTTTTCTTCCAGTCTCCATTTCAGAGTAGGAAGGCTCATCTCAGCCTTGGTTGATGAGTCCCACTTCTACCCTGCTGGAGCACATGGTTCCTTCCATTTTACAGGGAGGCAAATTTGTAGCTACTGTTCCCTAGCCAGGGTCTGCATAATGAAACAGTCCTGGCCAGGTTGTGTGGGTTGGAGTAGTAAAGAAGTCCTGCTGCTGTTGCCTCGGCTGAGGGCTCAGTCATCTCCTCAGGACCCAGAAATAGCATCTAGTCTGCAGTAGCGTGGTGCTCAAACAGTGGGTAGCATGAGCCTGGAACGGTGTGCTTGGATGAAAGGAAGCCGCTGTGCAATAGCAGACAGCAATTCATATGGCTACTATCAAAAGGAGGAAATCTGAGTCTGTGGAACAAGAGAATTGACGAATAAGATCAGACACCTGGCTGAGGCCAGATCAAAACCCCTGGGTGAAGGTTTTGACAGGCCCAAGAGAGACTGTAGTTGTTGGGGTTTCTGTTTTGTTTTTAGTACTTTTTTGGCTCTTTGACTCTTTGGGGGCCGACCACTGAACCCCCAAATAAGTCACACAGAGGCCTATTATTACTTATAATATTATTATATTGTTACCTATAATTATTATATTATTAATATTACTACCCAGCTTAGCTTGTTTCTAGCCAGCTTTCCTTAAATTAAATTATCCTGTCTACCTTTTGCCTCTGGGCTTTTTCCTTTTCATACTTCTGTATATTTTACTTTCACTCTTACTCCAGGGCTGGCTGTGTGGCTGGGTGGTTGTGTGACTGGGTGGTTGTGTGACTGGCCCCTAGCATCCTCCTCTCTTTGTTCTCTTGCTCTTTCTCCTTTTCCTCCCAGATTTCCCCTTTATTTATTCTCTGCCTGCCAGCCCCGCCTATCCTTTCTCCTCCTTGCTATTGGCCACTCAGCTTTTTATTAGACCATCAGGTGTTTTAGACAGGCACAGTAACACAGCTTCACAGAGTTAAACAAATGCAACATAAAAGAATCCAACACATCTTTGCATCATTAACACGAATATTCCACAGCATACGCAAATGTAACACATCTGCAACTAATATTCCACAACAAGACTGGCACCACAGTGCTGTTGAAGAGTGAGGTGTGTGCGCTCACACATGTGTAACCTGTTTCTGTTTTCAGCAAGAGTGCTGATTTCCATCCTCACTGACTTACGGCATCCGTGTGTCCTCTTGGAGCATGCTTGCTTGTTCATGCTCAGGAAATACATTGGAAGTAAATGGGAAGCTCTCAGCTAGTGCATTTCTGCTGAATTTGCAGGCCTTGGAGGTTCATGTTCCCTTGTTTAGTCAGGCAGTGACCCGGAAGCAAAACTGGGCTCATTACTCAATCTTTCATTTCCACTTTTTCATTTCCCTCTGTTTTAGAAAGCAAGCAGCTAGGGAAGAGCGTTCTCAGAGGTTCTGAACTTCCACATTTTGTAAGGGCAAATTTTTTCCCCCAGCTATGTACTGATTAACTATTTACCAATAAGACGTGGTTCTCGTCTGTCAGGAGCAACCTTGAATAGTCATCAGTGTAAAGCCCCTGAAATGAAGAGGTTCTTTCCCCGTTACCCTGCATTAAACACGTAGTGTTGGAAGGGAGGTGTAACGTTCTCCTGGAGTCACTCTGAATCCCAGGCCCGCCCTGCAAGCACAGTGCTCAGATGGCCCCTCTGGATTTCTGTAATGCTGTCTGGCTTCAGGCACTGCTGAGCAGTCTGTGGGCAGTGCTCACAGACACTTACACTTCAGGGTTCAGCTTTGAGTCTGGGCTACAGCACTTGTACTTTACAGAGGAAAAGAGAGAGTTTATTTTGGAGATAAATAGGAGTGAACATGGCCGGGGAGTGCAGTTGCAGTGTGGTAACAGTTTCGTGGAGTTTTACAATAACAATGGAGACAATCATAAACTGAGATCTTTTTAGTGCATTTCTGGGAGTGTTGGGTAGGCGGTGACAGAAGCTGTGGCCTATGATGCTGTCTGATAGCACTGTTAGGTCTCTCTAGTTGACAGAAACTGGGGTCTGTTTGTGCATGTCAAAGGAGTTCTCTAATGTTGGGTCACTTACAAAGGAGGGCATACGTGACTGTAAAGGGCACTAAAGATGGCTCAGGTGATTTGGCTCTGGACTTGAAACATTTTATTCTTTCCCCCTTGTGCTGAGTAAGTTAATCAGCCTTAGAAGGTTCTGAGCTTCTCTTAGGAACTTTTGTTGACATTGGTAAGCATGATACATATTGCATCATGAAGATGTTCTTGTGGAGCTTGTGGAGAAGGAGGCACAGAGGACACTTGAGGAAGCCCACCCCGTCTCTTACATGGACTGGGCCAGCCATTGGCACTGGATGCTCATGTGTTCTTCTCAGTCATAAAACATGACAGAGTCACTTAGAATCATTGTGAGCAAAGGAGCAAAAAGCTTATTGCTTTGGAATTTCTTCAAGAATTCATGTTGGGAAGTGATGTTTTTAACTTCCTAAAAATTTTTATCTATTGTGTGTGTGTGTGCCACACACACGTGAATGCTATAGTAGCATGTGGAGGTCAGAGGACAACTTGCAGAAGTCAGTTCTCTCCTTCTACCACATGGATTCCAGGAATCAGTCAGGATTGGCAGCAAGTGCTTTTTCCTGCTGAACCATCTTGCCCGCCCAGAAAATAATTTTTATGTATATGCAGTATAGCCACACGTTTTATGAGTTTTGTGTAGCTTTGTGTTTTGTTTTTGAGACAGGGTCTTGCTGTGTAGCACAGGATGGCCTGGAATGTGTGGTCCTCTTGCTGTTGCTTTCTGGGTGCGGAGGTCACAGGTATCTGTCTCCTTGCCTGACTGTTAGAGATTGTTTTTAGTGTCTGTCTCCTTGCCTGACTGTTAGAGATTGTTTTTAGTGTCTGTCTCCTTGTCTGACGGTTAGAGATTGTTTTTAAGTGTGTGCGCTTTCTCCCCTTTTGTCTTTATTTTTGAAAACTTGTCTTTTATTCTATTCCTAGAATTATTGATAACTTGGGTTTTTGTTTTATCTTGTTTGTTTTTGAAGCACTGTGTATATCTGGCTGGCCTAGAACTCACTATGTAGACCAGGCCAGCCTCAAATTTAGAGAGATCCACCTCCTCTGCCCCCCAAGTGCTGGATTAAAGGTGAGCACTACCACGCACTGCAGATACCTTTTAGTTTTGAATGCAGAGGATTCAATTTACTTAATTCAAAAAGAAAAGGTACTGTAAATTCATAGTTGAACATTTAATTTTAGAATGGTATCAGGAAACTTTCTTTATCCTGGAGCTAAGTTTTTCCCATTTGTGAATTTACATTTTTAGGAAGACAGTATGTGATTTCTGGCAAAGTGATATTTTAGAGTGTAACATTGGATTCTAGAAGATGTGAGTCTGATTCTGTCCAGTTGCAGTTCCCGTCTTGGGTTATTTGTAACCCTGCTCTGAAATGGCCTGAGGATCACAGGATGTGATGGCCACAGCAGAGCGGGCTTCGGGTGTGTCCCTGTCCTCGTGGTCCTTGCTTTCACAGGCCAGTTCCTCAGAAGACTCGTTGCACTCACCAGCTTCACTTTTTGTTTTGTTTTGTTTGGGTTTGGGTTTTTTTTTTGTTTTTTTTTTAGACAGGGTATTTCTATGTAGACCCCGCTTTCCTGAAACTTGCTATGTAGACCAGGCTGACCTCGAACTCACAGAGATCCACCTGCCTCTGCCTCCTAAGTGCAGGGATTAAAGGAATGGGCCATGCCCAGCTGTCCACATACCACGTTTAATCTCATTCCTGTAGAAAAACATCAGTCTGTTGGGTCCTTACGTCTGACACTGAGTGCATACCCTTCAGTGTGAACACTGTTACTGCAGCCCTTCTGTCCTGTCTCTGGTTTTCACCCAGAACTGTAAATCCCAAGTGTGGTGAACACTTGAGGTTATCCTTCTTCTTATTCCAGTCTTCACCAGCTGCCCTCCAGTGCTGCAAACCTTCATCCTGTCTACCCTTTCGTCACTATCCTGGGAATTTCCTCACTTCTCTCCCGCTGTGGATCGTGTTTCCTGGTTCCCGTTTTCTCCTGTTTTTGATATATTTCCTTATTTGGGGAGAGTGTATCCTATTCATCTGCCTCCGACCCTGTTCTTCTCAGTCCATTTGGCACCAGATCCCTGTTTAAGGCAAACTATCCATAATATCGTCCCCTGTGAGTTGACGTCACCCTCTTTGATTAAGGAAGTGCCTGATATCGTGTTGTGCCCTGTCCTAGCCTTTGAGTACTCCCAGGTACTGTGATCACTACTAAGGATCCCAGGGTTGGAGAACTTAGTCCTCTTCCCAGGAGATTCCAGGCTTCTCATTGGTGTGCATACTGCCCTCTAGTGGCCCTTCTGAAAAAATTGGAGGATGTTTGGGGTAAGGGATGGTGTTACAAAATTATAAAATTGGTGAAAGGGATTTGTAGTCATGCCAGAAATATTAAATGTCTTATGTATCTAGCCCAATTGTAGAATACCCATCACACACTTGGGTGTGAAAATCAGTAAGTATGTAAGCCTAGAGCTTAGCTCCATTTTACACACAAGCCCAAACCACTCTTGGGGTTATATGTTGTCATTGTTTGTGCAGCAGATGAAAAACAGGCATTGTCCAGCAATCGGAAGATAAAAACCAAAAAAGGTGGCATGAGGTATTTTAGGAATTGTTTGTAGTAGTCATTGATAGAACTTTATCTGGGGAGGCAGAGGCAGGCAGATCTCTGTGAGTTCAAGACCAGCCTGGTCTACAGAGCAAATTCCAGGACAGGCTCCAAAGCTACACAGAGAAACCCTGTTTTGAAAAACCAAAAACAAAAAAACAAAACAAAAAAAAGAACTTAATTTGTAAGAGACCTAGAGAAGAGGTCACAGCCAGGAACTATGGCTGCTGCTGCTCCTAGTAAAGCTGCAGCAACAATAAAGACTGTGACTGCCCTGTTCACACACAGAAGTAAGATTCATTGTTGCATATTCAGGATCCACTGGAATGTTCTAGATAGTCACTTACTGAGAATTTTAATTTACACTTACGACTAAATGCGTTAATTTGAAGACATACTGCTCTCATGTTGGATTGGTTATCTGTTGTTACTTAAACTATCTCAAAATTTAACATCTAAAACATTAAACACGTGTTCTATCCCTTGTGGTTTCTGAGGTCGTTAACTTGGTAGAAGGAACTTTAGTTCCTCCCAGCATGGGCTCTAAGCTTACTGTTGTGACAGAGAGTGCCCACTCATGTCGGAGTTGTACTAAAACACCCTAGTCTTGGCAGTGACATGCTGTCAGAGCTGTAAGTTACTAGTCACACAGAGGGAAGGACTGCATGCACAGGAGCGTGCACACTGAAGAGGGAAGGACTGCATGCACATGAGCATGCACACTGAAGAGGGATGGACTGCATGCACAGGAGTGTGCACACTGAAGAAGGAAGGACTGCATGCACAGGAGCGTGCACACTAAAGAAGGAAGGACTACATGCACAGGAGCGTGCACACTGAAGAAGGAAGGACTGCATGCACAGGAGCGTGCACACTGAAGAGGGAAGGACTGCATGCACACGAGCATGCACACTGAAGAGGGACTTTTGGATCATTGTGAGGATGGCTAATGCACACAAGGATGCTAAGGTTTTGTTGCTGTGTTTGGGCTCTCTAAAGGAACAACCAATGAAATGAATTTGAGAGAGACAGAGAGTGTTATTAGAGTGGCCTACAGGCCATGGTCCGGGTGGTTCAATTATGTCTGTGTCCTGATGGAAAGGCCAAGGTTCAGTCAATTTCCAGTCTGATGCTGGAGTCCCGGGAATTCCTGTTGAGTTGTTGGTCTTCAGTCTACATTGAAGTCCTAGAGAAGTAGGTTCTAATAACAGTGAAGGAATGCCTGAGCAGCAGGCAGCACACAATGCATGTGAAGATCAGAACACAGCTTCGTGAAGTGGATTCTTTCTCTCCTGCATCCTTGCAACCTGGCCTCGGTTCTGGGACTGAACTCTTTTTGCAACCACTTTGCTTAGTCATCTTACTGGCCTGTGTTTTGCTTTTATAAAATTCAGAATCATTTAAAAATAAATCTTAGCCTGAACTTGTCTTAAAACTTGATAATGTATAGAGGTGTCAGCTGCAGGAGTGTTTATACAACAGATACCTGGTGCTCTTGGGGCACAGCTGGGGCTGCTCAGCATGCAGCCTGTGAGCACACCTTTGAATTGCACTCTGCTGCTCTCCTGGCCCTCTTATTCATCTTGATAATTGAATAGGGCATTGGCTTTAGTAGATTACACAGTAGTCTAAGGGAGATTAGACGAAGGTGAGTGTTCCTAACAGATTTCTGTCTGGATTGCATCTAAATGGCTTTATGGTTGGCTAACTAGATAAAGAACCTAAAATACTGTTTGGTGGTTTCTTGTAGCTTCTCATGTGGAAAATTTGAAATGCCGTGGGGACGCCATAGCTAAGAAAATCAATGACGCCATGAAGGTAAAAGCTGTGCTAAGTGTATCGAGAGGGAAAAGACTGGTGCTTGCTGTCGGTGCCAGGTGTGTCTGGGCTGCAGGAGGATCTCAGGAACTGTTAAGTGGTTCAGAGTGTGTTTGTTAAGCAGCAGAAACACCCAGAGCTCCATTTATCAGGTGCCTACTGTGTGCCACATACTCTGCCTGGCAGGTACCTCTGTGAGCTGTGTGTTCCCCTGGTTCTCCAGTGAGGTTATACTTCAGGAGCTGAGCTGGCAGCTTGTTGGGCACTTTGGGACAATTTGGTGACATTTATGGAGCGTATGGTGTCTGCCTTGCCTTTGCTGTCGTGCTTAACTGTCCTAACTTAAGTTAACTAAGTTAACTTTAACTCTCACACTAACCCAGAAGATGGGTATCTTAACCCCCATTTATGGAGAGAAGACTGAGGCACTGAGAGCCCAGATGTGTTTGTTGCTCAACCGAGTTCCTGAACCAGGATATCTGGCTTCGGAACTTGTTTGTTGTTGTTTCTGCTTTTGTGCTGGGTCTGGACCCAGGCCTGGCATGTGCTCATCATACCCTGTACCCTGAGCTGTGTGCTAGCCATGGAGTTCTGCTCTTAATCACTCTATTACACTACTCCAGCCGGAGAGCCTCAAGGTCATCATCACATGGTTTCAATTGGGACATTTATTTTACCTAAACATGAAAATAAATTCCTAGTACATGGAAATGATTTTAAACTCCTTCAGAACATCTCCAGTTTTGATGTCCATTTTCTGTGGCATTTTTTTTAGTTTATATGGATTCCATGTTTTTCTGATAATTGATCATCTATTGTTTTTATCCTATCCTTGATCCAGAGTTGGTGGGCCAGGTATTCAGTTGACCTCGTTTTTTTGTAAGCAAAGCTTTATTGGAACACAAATGGGATCATTCATTTCCTTCCTGTCTGTTGTTTCTTCTATGTTCTAATAGTGGAGTTGAGTTCTTTTATTTTGGGGACAGGGCCTCACTGTGTTCCACAGACTAGCTTCAAACTCGTTTTAGTCTCCTGAGCACAGGGATTACATTTGTGTATCATCTACAGTGGCTGCCTGAGGTTGAGTTCTTAGGTGCAGAGCCCCAGAGTCTAAAATGCTTACTGTTTCATTCATGACAGTCAGAAGGTTCTGATCCCTACTCTTGATGACCAATATTCCTAAAGCATGCTCCTCAAAGAAGCGGGATTTCAGACTTTAAATTCGTAGCTCTGAAATTCTCTTACCCCTGTCAAATTGAATATCACTAACAGTTATTGTAGGAATGAGCCATATCTTTTAGTCTTAGCTTTTAGTTAAAATTCCTCCATTTAAGTAAGTATTTTAAAATATAAAGTCAAGTATCCATGACCCCAAGAAACCAGGTCTCAGTAATAGACTTGATCTAAAGAATTGCAGGGCAGCAGGTCCAGGTCTGTGTATAGTGTCTTTGTCTGTGTGTTCACCTTCCAACCTGAGATTTTCCTTCCCAAGGCTTTGCCTCTGCTAATCGAACAAGGAGACGGTTTTTCCCAGGTCTTAAAGATGCAGCCTGTCATCCAGCTGCAGAGGATCAACCGGGAAGTCTTTTCCAGCCGTTCCAGGAGAGCAGATACCAAGCCCGACAAGTCTGTAACACAAGTAGAAACCACACCAACTGAGACTGCAGCCAGGAAAGCCTCGAACATAGTGCTGAAGAGAAAGCATGTCCCAGACTGCTCCCAGAGACAGCGCTACCCGCTGCGGCCGAAGAGAATTGATCTGGATGTATGAGCTCTGTTTGTTTGGGAATTGGAAGTTGGTGCTCTCAGCATCCAGGTCACGGTCTGCTGCCCGGGGGACTTCATTGAAAGTAACTGTGACTCTGTACAGGTGCAGTGCACCGTTCTGCTTGTCCTGGGCTGGGTCTCCCTCTGCGGTAGGGAAAAAGCCTGTGGAGTATTGCACAGACCTGTCAGTGGCCTCAGATGCTATCAGTGCCAGCTGCCTTGCAGCCTTTGAGGCATCCCAGGGGACATGCTCTGAGGGGTTTTCTTGATGTGCAGCTTTCTCTATGTGTGAGGTCATGAGGTAGTTCTTGGAGGCTTGAGGACTGGTGTTGGCTCTGCACAGCAGCCTGCTCGTTGCTAGTCCAGTTCATCAGAGGAGCGCACAGAAGATGGGCCTGGCCTTGGCTTTGTTCCATGGGCACTTAATTCACAATTTTAGGGTTTTGTTTTGTAAGATAAAGGAGAAGGCTATTATTTGTGTAGGAAATTAATTTTTTTTGTCTGCCTGTTTTCAAGACAGGGCCTCTCTGTGCAGACTTCACTCTGTAGACCAGGCTGGCCTTGAACTTAACAGGTTCCACCTGTCTCTGCCTCCTGAGTGCTGGGATTAGAGGTGTGTGCCACCATCGCCCGACTGTGCAGGAAATATTCTTAAAAAGAAAACCTGAGGCTGGAGCCTCTGTTTCTTCCCTACGTACGCTTTCATTTCCATAGGTCTTTGAACATAATTTGTCTGGGAACTGATAGTTTCTTTTAAAGTCCTCATTTCTAAATAGATCCTTCCAGTTCAAAGTGTATATAAATTAGGGTTGATTGGCATGCTCCAGTTAAAGACATTTGTTATCCAATATAACATCAGACCTAAAAGGGGTCTCAGCAAACTTACACTCTGAGATTTGGCCACAGCCTCCACAGCCTCTTACGTTGTGTCTCTTACATGGTACATTGTAGATAGGGCCTGTAGCTTGCCACCTGTTTCCTTTCTTGGTGATTATACACTTTTATCCATTTTCAGAGAAATTTACTAATCATGGCTTGGAAAATCTATATTGCTCTTGCTCGGTATGTCCTAAAGATCATAAACATCTAGGTTTGTCTGGTTTTCTCGATTGGAAAAGCCTTATGGTGAGGCCACTTTATGGGACTTGTAGATTCTGTTTTACTGTTAAAATTTGAGATCAGGGCACTGGAGAGATGGCTCAGAGGTTAAGAGCATTGACTGCTCTTCTAGAGGTCCTGAGTTCAATTCCCAGCAACCACATGGTGGCTCACAACCATCTGTAATGAGATCTGGTGCCCTCTTCTGGCATGCAGGCAAACATGCAGGCAGAACACTATACATAATAAATAAAATAAATCTTTTTTTTTTAAATAAAAAAAATTGAGATCAGTATATTCATACAGAGCAATGTTTATTTTTATTTTGTTTTTAAAAATAATATACAAAGACCAAAATCTTGGCACATGCTTTCTCCAGCTAACAAGGCATTCTTGGTACCTACTTTAGTAGGACAGCAGGCCGGCACTCTGCACTCTGGAGTGAACTGACCTTTGCCTTAAAATCACTTTGTGACTTCAGAAGGTGGCTTTGGTTCTGTGCCTTTTGTGGCATTTACGTTCTGTGATTGAGTTCACTTCAGGAGTGCCCAAGCAGGCAAGGCTAAGACACCAGGCTGTGAGGTGAGGCGGTGCAGTATGTTAGGCTTGCACACCAGGCTGTGAGGTGAGGCGGTGCAGTGTGTTAGGCTTGCACACCAGGCTGTGAGGTGAGGCGGTGCAGTATGTTAGGCTTGCACACCAGGCTGTGAGGTGAGGCGGTGCAGTGTGTTAGGCTTGCACACCAGGCTGTGAGGTGAGGCAGTGGATTTCCATTGAGCAAATGCTGTATGGCAAGATGGGAGAATGAGCTTGGAGGAGTCCCACTAGATGGTTCTGGCTGGACTTGACAAAGTCACATTTTGAAAGGCCCCTTTCCACACTCTGGATGTGAGATGGTGCCAAGAGGAGTTTGGAGTGATGAACTTGGTCTGGCATGAATGTGACTTGACCCTGTGACTAAAGCACTTACTTAGTAGTGACCTTTGAGAGGTGTTCAGTCCTAGTGCAGAAGCCGAGTGACTGGGGAACTCCAAGGAGACTGGGGCCCTCTTATCAATGGTAGTCATCTTCTAAGGGGCCCTTTGGTAGAGGTGAAGACGTTTTTGCCTATTGTAAGGTAAGATGTTTGTGTGTGTGGCAGTGGGGGTAACTGTCATCTAGTGAATAGAGGCTGCACATCCTCTGGATGGCTGGCACAACTAACCATCTGCCCCAAGACCAGTGGCACTGAGGTGAGGAACCTGCTGAGGGGAGAGTGGTCCAGTGATGCTGAGGTAGAGGAGCCTGCTGAGGGGATAGTGGTCTAGTGACACTGAGGTGAGGAGCCTGCTGAGGGAGAGTGGTCCAGTGATGCTGAGGTGAGGAGCCTGCTGAGGGAGAGTGGTCCAGTGATGCTGAGGTAGAGGAGCCTGCTGAGGGAGAGTGGTCCAGTGATGCTGAGGTGAGGAGCCTGCTGAGGGAGAGTGGTCCAACAGCATGAGGGGGTGTGATTATTGCAGCTTTCCAACCTCTCTAGGAAGTGCTGTTTGTGTTGGTTGTACTTAACTCTTGTCAAAATATCCCACTGTCAGCCCTCGTAAGACAAAGTGTAACGTATGAAGTTCAAATAAAACTAGACTGTCAAATATGTAATGAAAAAAGCCCCAAATAAAAATGTTAATTCTAATTGCATTTTTATTGAGTTTAAAGGGGTGCATGTTGATAGAGTTAAATGATGTTGTATCTTGGATTTGCTCTTAAGTATTTAAGCAAAGAGAAGGGATAGATTAAGCAAATGTATAAGAAATGTTGATGGCATTGGACCTATGTGATACAACATTTACTTTGCGCTTGGAAATTTTGTATATAAAATATACATATATGTATGTATGTATTTTTAATTTGTTTTGTTATGAAGCAGCCAGCCCCACAGATGAAGCTTGGAGTCTTCGGAAGCCCAGCTCTGTCCTGCAGGCACAGCAGTGTAGAAGCAGCGATGAGTAGGCCTAGGCTGTAACGGGGAGTTACGGCTTTTTAGGCCAAGGGTTAGCGACATGAGAGTATTGAAACTAAAACGACGGGAAAACTGAAAATTTTCTGTCTCTGTTGGAAAAGGGAGGCTGAATTGGAGAGGGTCTTAAAATTCCTTGTGAGGGCTGGAGAGATGGCTCAGCAGTTAAGAGCATTGCCTGGTCTTGTTAGAGGACCCAGGCTCGATTCCTAGAACCCACACAACGGCTCACAACCATCTGTAACTCCAGTCCAGGGCATCTGACGCCCTTTTCTGGCCTTCTTGGGCACTACACACGTGGTTCACAGACCTTCATACAGGAAAAAGATTCATGCACATTTTTAAGAATTTCTCTGCCAACAAAATTTAAACAGAAGGCCAGATCTAGGCCCTGGGAAGAGAGCCCTCCAGAAGAGGCAAATTCTTAATGTCGACAGTTGAGGGCTGGTGAGATGGTTCAGCAGGTGAGGGGACCTGCCACCAAGCCTGGTGACCTGACTTTGATCTCCAGGACCCACATTGTGGAAGGAGAGAACTGACTCCCACAAATTATCCTCTGACCTCCACATGTGTGCTATGTATCACGTGTGCTGCCCCCTACACACACACACACACACACACACACACACACACACACACACACACACTTTCTTCATTTTTGAGATGGTCTTACTATGTAGTCTTGGCCTGGAACTTACTCTGTAACCCAGCCTGCCCTCAAATCCTTGAACTCACAGAGATCCACCTGCTTTTGCCTCCCACATGCTGGGATTAAAGGCTTGTACCAACCATGACCAGCCGTAAAATGTCTTTTAAATTAATGGTTGTGTTGACTTCTTGGTGTGTATAGTCAAGCCACTGAGTGGTTCACTTGAAAGGCAGTGGAATAGGCAATGCGTGTCTCAGAGGAACATAAACAAATATGGCCAGAGCAAGTGCTGTGGTGTGAATGTGGGGTTGCCCAGTCCTGGCATGATAGGTTGAGAGGTGGTGCACACCTTAATCCCAGCATTCTGGAGACAGAAGCAGGTGGATCTCTGTGAATTCAAGGCTAGTCTAGTTTACACAGAAAGGCCAGTCAAGGCTGTGTAGTGAAACCCTGTCTCAAAAAAAAAAAAAAAAGACACCCAACATAGACTTCTGGTCTCCATGTACACACAAGCACACACACAAAAAGAAACAATAAATTCTGTGAAAGCCGTCTCTGGAATTATGTATGTCTGGATTTGTGCTTGTGAGGGCAGTGCTCGCACACACCAGGAAAGGGGATCAGCTTCCCCTGGAGCTGGAGTGACAGGCTGCTGTGAGCCCCCTCAGGCCGGTGCTGGGAACCTGCCCTGAGTCCTCTGGAAGAGCAGCAAGTGCTCTTACCTGCCAAGCCAGCTCTCTCCCTGTATTAGCTTTTTTGACTGTGAATTTTAGTTTTGGTTTTTATGGGGCTCTGTTTCTCTCCCCGACCCTTTGTTTTGTAATAGATTTTATCCTCAAACTCCAGTTTGGGGAGGAGCCTTTCGATAGCCACTGGGGAGTTCTTGGGCGTTAACATTTGGAGGTTTGGCGACATTGGTATATTCACCTGGAACTTCAGGAAGCAATCTGTGTCATGGCTGTCCCTGGGTTGCTAATACCTATGGGGTTTCTCCCCCAGTACTAATGAAATGTCCAACTTCTCAGTGCCCCATCCTCACAGCCTCAGCCGTTAATGACTGTGGCATGACTGTTCATGGACTGAGTTTAAATAATGGGTTTATTGGCAGGGCTCAGTGGCCCACACCTTTAATCCCAGCACTTGGGAGGCAGAGGTAGGTAGATCTCCACGAGGTTGAAGCCAGCCTGGTCTACCTAGTGGGTTCCTGGACAGACAAGAATACAAGGTTGAGACCCCATGTCAAGAATACAAAAGATGAACTTGTCAGTTGCAAGGGACAGAGGAGGTGGAGGTGTACAGGACTGAAGCAAACCACTGGAGAGTTGCCGCAACAGGGACCCTGCCTGTGTGTACCTTGGCTTCCACCTCTTTGACCAATCCAGCCACATCCAAACAGTATTTAAAAGCCATGTTTCTAAAAGGCAAGATATTAGATATTTTACAAGGATTGCTCGGTGTGTGCACGCGTGTGCGTGCATGTCCCCGACTGTGTGGGTGCAGGTGTCAGTGAGCAGTCGTGTAGAGGCCGGAGTAGAACATCCATATCTTCCTCTGTCACTCTACCAATTGTCTTGGACTCTCTCACTAAACCTGAAGTTCTATTTAGGTTGCCTGGCCAAGTGACCAGTGAGCTCCCAGATCCACCTGTCTCCAGCCCTATAGCTGGGTTACAGGCACCCACAGTCATGCCTGGCATTTTACGTGGGTGCTGGGGATTTGAACTCAGTCAGGTCTTGCCTTGTCAGTGCTTTTCCCCACTGAGCCATTACCCAACCCCTAGATTTCCTTTTTCAGCTGGATGGTGGTATTGTGGTTATATGAATGCAGGTCTAGGTAACAGTGCTTATATGTATTTAGATGTGATGACCCAGCAGGAAAATTTGAAAAGTACGATGAATAAGGAGACAGGCTTCATGGCACATGCCCATAATCCCAGCACCTGGAAGACTGAAGCAGGAGGATTGAGAGTTTGAGGCCAGCCTGGGCTGCCTGGCAATGCACTCTGTGTGTGTGTCACCCCTTACACACATACGAAATAGATAAGACTAACGTGACAGCGTTAGCTGTTGAGTCTCGAACATCTTTCTACGTTGGAAAGTTTTATACTAAAAGTTTGAATTAAGTAGTCATTTTTCTTTTTTGTTTTTTTCAAGACAGGGTTTTTCTGTATAGCAGTCCTGGCTGTCCTGGAACTCTATCTGTAGCCCAGGCTGGCCTCAAACTCACTGAGATCCACCTGCCTCTGCCTCCTGAGTGCTAGGATTCAAGGTGTGTGGCACCACCGCCCAGCTGAGTAGTTTTTCATGTGAGTGAGTTCCTTTACTCCACACTCAGTGACTCCACAGTCGTGGTTCAGGGGGTGGGTGAAGATCTCCACCTGTGCAAATATCTCCCCACCAATCCAGTGGGTTCCTGTCCAGGACATCAGTGCTAGCCGAGGACCTCTTGGGGAGGAAGTAGGATGTGAGGGAGATAGAGTTCCCTGCACTTTGACCTCCTGAGGGAACGTGGGAGTGAAACTCAGACTTCAGCAATTTCTGTGGAATCAGATGTTTGCAAGAAATGGCTTCATCTGTTTCCAGAAACTGCAGGAGAGCATTAAGAAAGTCATAAACAAACACAGCCCCTTGCCTGGGGTGATGGACTCTGTGTCCCCAGCCAGTCCTCAGCCCAACCCCAGCACCCCCAGGCTTGCCCTTGCTGGGGTCCCCAATAGAGTGAAACAGGCATGTCAAGGTACGGCAGCAAAGGGACTGTGACCAGCTTCACCTGGTGTCATCCTTGAAAGGGGCGCCCCCCTAGAGATCTCACCCAGTGCTGCGTGAGACCACTTAACATAGCAGCCCAGTATCCGAATCCTCAAAAAATACGAATTTCCTAATGAAATTCCCATTTTCTTTCATGCCTCCCTGAAATCTGATTAAAATGTTCTATGGACAGATTTGCTCCAGCCACTGGGTCTCCTGTTCTTTCTCCTCTGTTTGTTCAAGATAAAAGATGGCTCAAAGAATGAGAGATGTTAGGTGGGGGAGGTCGTTAACAGGCAGTGTGAACTGGGCTGGGGATGTAGCTAAGGGGTACAGCACTTGCCTAGACTGCTCAGGGCCCTGAATTCAGCTAACAGCATTGTTTAAGCAGTGGATAGGTAATAATGATTACTATGTTGTCCAGGCTGATCTATTGGTGTTTTTATGTTTGAGACAGGCTCTCACTGTGTAGCTCAGGCTGGCCTCAAACTTGACATCTTCCTGTCTCAGCCTGCTGAGGGGTTACATGCATGTGCCACCCCCCACTCTAGCCTAAGGATGATCTCAATCTCCTGGGCTCCAGTAATTCTCCTGTCTCAGCCTCCCAAGTAGCTGGGAATACAGACATGGGTCGCTGCATCTAGCTAAAATCCACCACACCCCAGAATTGTACAAAAATAGATTTTTATAACCATTTCAGTTTGAGTTTTTGTTTGTTTTGTTAATTTTTTTAGGAGACAAAGTCTCATTCTGTAGCCTGAGCTGGCCTAAAGCTCACTCTGTAGCTTAGGCTGGCTGCAGACTATTGGTGATCCTTTTATTTAGTCCTCTGAGTCTGCGAATACAGGTGTGTGCCACTGTTAACGTTTGGGGGTCTAGATTGGGTAGTCTTCTCTGCCAGTTAAAGAGTTAAAAGGCAGGGACTCTAGAACACAGCTGGCAGCACCAGGGAGATCTCAGACGCGGCAGGCATAGTCACCGGAGGAAGCCTTTATTAGAGGTGAGGACACACAGCAAGACGCACAGGGAAAGACCCTCTGCTTTGCAGAAGGCGGACTCCTGAGCCCTAGATCCAGTCTTTCCTTGAAGGCTGTGGATTTTAAGGGCCTTTGAGGGGCCTTCATCCCCTAGATGAAGAAAGGGAGGCTGATGACCCATGACTTTGAAGAAAACATGTCCTGATCCAGCCTTGAACTTTAACCAGTCCATGACAGCAGTCCACTGATGGTGGGGAGGCCCACCAGGCTGTTGATCAGGAACAACAGTGTGAGTGTGAGGAAGGGGCCAGAAATTTGCCATCTTTACTATGGATTTGTGGCCCCCCTTTCTATATAACTCCTCTGAGGGATCTGTCCAACCCTTAGTCCCTCACCACTACACCTGAAAACTTATTTTCAATTCTGTGGGGCTAGAGAAGGCCTTGGGCACAATGAGCAAGCCTGCCGCTGAGCTCAGGCCCAGTCTGTATTACCAGTGCATTCGCTGAA